TGAACTCTTTCATGCATACAAGATAATATCGAACATCGAAATGTATTACGACGATTCTGATCGCGGCATATTTTCGATTCGGTAATTCTTGTCGAACGGTACGGGGCGTTGCTGAATTAAGTGTGAAATAAGTCATTGAAGTGATGAATCTATTCCGAGGATTTGGCACAATTTCATTCGGTTGAATTCAGGAAATAGACTGCAAATTGTGCCGTTGTGTCCGGCGATTGAAAATTCATGTCACGTATAAACCCGCCGACAATTGGAAACGACTATAATTTATCGATTTCTTAAGCGTTTTAGCCGGTATTAAGTTTCAACCGATTTTTTTCTCTCTCCATCCAATCAAATATGCAAATTTTTAATGAACGCTAACACTTTCGGTGTAGAGTGTCTTAATGCGATCACGAGCAATAATTTATTATACTGTGAGTGCTATAGTTTTAATTATTTCGAAACTAAAACTTATGTCGATTGAACAAACAGACTTTATTAGATGTTGTTCTATATCAACAAAAAAAAACTCCCGTTCACCAGGCGGCAAGATTTTTCGCCCAGATATTCAATCGAGTTTTTAAGAGACAAAGTTGGTTTTGATTTTTTTTTTAATTCGCATAAGTTAAGTTGAATGAAGTGAGTTTTTATGCCGGCTTTCGTCGAAAAAAAAAAGACTATTGCTAATCGGTTGACTGGAACTACAAAGAAGCCGAAATTTCTTTTTTGTTCAAACAAGAGCAAAACTCTAATTCTGAAATGTCGATGGGTATTGAAGGATTGACCGAAAAAATATCAAATCGAGATTTCCCATTTGACATGGATAAAATTTATTTTCAGCGTTGACGAACGTTAGTCGTTTTTTATTGTTCTTTTGTTGGTTCCTTTATTGCTGTCGAATTTGTTATAGACTCTTTTTTTTCGCGTTTGTGGCGGCTGTTGCGCCCAGTAGGAGACCAAAATGCATTGATTTGGAATGAAGCATCGCCTTTGACAAAGACTCTTTGTTTTAGTAATTTTTTGGACGGGTGTAAAAACAGATCAGTGCATAAAATGCAGAAAGACGAATAAAAATTGCAAACGAGTTTAAAAAAAGGAAGACATAAAAAACACACGGCGAACAAATAAAAATGAGCTTAATGCATGCGAGATTCGTCTTACTGTTTTCGGAGAGATACCAAAATCGGATTATTTTGTATTCTTATTTTTCGGTTTCTTATGTCTTTCAGCGTGTGTTTTTTTTAAGAGTTTGTTCAACGCATCTATCTCATGCGATATAAAAATACATATTGCGAAGTGTTTGTTGTATCCAATTCCATTTTCCAACAAAAATTACATGCAGTAAAAGAGAATTAAAAACGAATAAAGAATTGCGACAGATCGCGCGACGCGCGCACACAGACTTTAAGATCATTATTATTATTATGAATTTAATGTTTGAATGTATTGAAATGCGCACGAGCGACCGAAAATACGGCACATTTGCAAAGGTGACTTTTGTTGAGTGTGAGATAGCAAAAATGCAATAGCAACAAAAAAAACGGCTTAAGATATGTGCAGCGTTCAAATTGAGGTCTGGTTACAGGGAGCAATATTAAGATAGAATGAAGTAAAATGTATCACAAAAGAATGACTAAATGCGTTGAGTCGTCGTCATCGTCATTCAGCGTATTACGGCACATTAGTGAAATGGACAAAGAAATTAACGAAAAAAACGGCCTAAAGTGTTCACGGAGTGCATGGATAAATAAAAAAAAAATTACTTAAGATATGATGAGACGACAGTGATATGCCGAAAGAAGCGAACAAATACGAAGAATGGATGTGCGCAGAAACAGAAAATCTTTTAGAAATAATAGACTCTTGCAATGCTGGCTAAGAGATTCGATTGAGAGGCACTAAAAAGATTATCCATCCGTGCAGCCGTGTTTTACCTCGGGGTAAAAAATAATATGCATAACAGTGCATGAAACTTAGCGCAACGTTATGCGCGAACGGAATGAAGAGAGAGAAAAATCACGGCATGTCAGAACGATAAACGAACCACCATGGCCGCACTGATAGGACCAGGCAACGGCGGCAGCAAACGAAAAACAATGTGATCACCGCCAACTCAATTTCCATGCCTCTCTTCTGCACACAGAATATTTTAACATAATTCTCTTTCTTTTCTCTTTTCAGTGAGAATTTTCGCGTTCGTTTTGCTGTGTATGGATGGGTTTTTTCTTGCCTTGTCTTTGCTTTGCGAATGTATGTGCGAGTGTATGTATTTGCTTTAATGTGCCCATAAAGCAATCTCAGCCGATTGGCCAGCACGAAGTTTTGTATCAACTTTTTTCTGCATCAGTCCTGAGGGTGATCTTTTAACAAGTATTCGTTTCGCCAGCCCGTTTTAATGTTATTCACAATGCGATCTGCTTTTATTATCGTTTGAATCGTGGAAAGAAAAAAACAACGCGAATTGGCCATTCCAACACACATCGACATTTATACATAAATGCATCCCATTTTCGAGGCCAAATGAAAATCGGTACCAGAGGATTTACTATGGAAATGAAATGCACTCGAAACGCATTTATTCAAAATGTTTGTAAAATGCATAAATTGGTAAAATTCAGTGAATTGGCGAATGTGTGGGATGTGGGAACTGTTTAGATCTCTGGGTTTCACGTCCATTTCAAGCGACGATATTTGTATCGGTTCTTTTCTTTTTCTTTTCAGTTCTTATCGGTTGATGGTTTTTCATCGTGCTCAAAGGAGGAAAAAAAATGTTCTTAATCATATTTTCTTCTAGGGCATTCTCGATTGTTGTTGCTTTTTTTCTTGCACCATGAACTTTCATACGTTCGTGTCTCTTTCTTCAAGTCCGTGTTGTTTGAATAACAATTACCCCTTTTGCGTGAATACCCATTGTAATTTGTTGATTTTTTTCTGATCTCGTGCGATAGAAAATTACGTCAATCAACTTATGTGAGAAACATTCTTTTGAATTGCCAATTGATTCTTTGAATTGAAAATCTGCCGACTTAATCACTTTCGCCTCAGTTGAACATTTCGATAATTAAAATGGAGTGCATTCAACCTGATTCTTTTATTCTCAAATAAAAAAAATTCGATAACAGAATTTGACCCGCAATAAAAATGATAATTTATTTAATTAACAAGCTCCAAGAAAAAAAACCAAATTTCAAACAGTTTGAATACTTTTCACAGAACGCTGAGCAAGCCTAAGGAGGTAATCGAGGTCCTTTTGGTGCATTTCAAATTGCTGTTGTTATGATCAAATACTCATAAAATCAACAATGAAAAAAGACGCAGCAATAAGTGGTTCGTTATAAAAACCCAATAATGCGTGTATGTGTGTGTTTGTGCGAGTAAGAATCAACGAACATAGAATAAAGAACAGCCAAGCTATAGAGAATGTTGTTAGGGTCGTTATTCTATTTGTAAAAAAGTCGCCTGAATGCGCACGGTAAGTAACTAATGCATGATCAAGAATGTATGTATTCCTTATACATACACACGCGCATATGTTCTCCCTTTTTTGTCAGTGTTTTGTGACTGTATGTGGCGCATTCACCTACTGAATGGAAACTGTGTACTATTCTTCAAATGGATATATGCAACACAATTTTCTACACACAGATGTTGAAGTATTATTATTTCTACGATATTCGGCATTTTGCACAAGTACTAAGCTAGCGGCACATCGTATGCTTCAAGTTGAACCCTTCATGCTGTAACAATATTTGAGCACACAAACACACGTACACATGCATGATTGTTGGCCGATTATAATGCATGCGTAGACGGTTTTTATATGGAAATATTCCTTATTCTTTAATTCCGTTTCTCTCTCTGTGTCGTTGAATATGCGTGTACTATTATTAAATTCTATTATGTATTTTTGTCGTTAGCCCCAGTCAATTAGATGATTTGCTTGCTGTGTTCGAGAAAATTCCGCCAAAATTTTTGGCTTGATCGAAAAGAGTCCGAAAATATTTCTTTTTTAAATATTCCATTTGAAATATTCAGTCTCTAATTTCTCTTCTTAAACAAAAGTAGCAAATAGTGTTTATGTTTAATAGGCGTAATTTTTAATCTGGTTTCATGTAAAAAACTATTCCGAAGAATACTTGAAAAGAAAATTGCGAAAATTAGATCACCGACAACAGAGAAGAAAAAAAATTAAACTCAAGCATATTGACATGTCAATGATGATCGATGCCCAACACAAAAAAATGTTTCTAATCCATAAGGATCGTATGTCGAATTGTTCATGCAAGAGCACAAAAGGACGGGACAATCGATGGCAGTGCTGCAAAAATAAGAAGGTTCGTCGCTTGAACTATTCTATTTTTTCTATGCGTGTGTATGTGTGTGTTTTTTCAATTTCTATTCCAAGCAATGGCATAGCTGTTGCACACCTGCGCACCCAATACCATTCCATTCCGAATGCATTTTGTTTGAAATTTGAGCATTGAATAGATTTTAAGATAGTTTTTTTCTGCATTTGTCGTCTTCAATGTTGTTTTTTTGTGTTTCTTCTGCTTTTTCCATGTTTAATGGCAATGAGCTGAAAATTTACCCAAACGGACGGAAGAGAAAACTGTATTATGGCAGTAATTTAATTGTAGGTAGGTAGGTAGATAGGTAGAAAAGGAAATACAGTTTTATTGCTGAACAAACAAACACACACACTTTTTCAAACACAAATCTTTATTACGGTCATTGTTCGAAACTGACAAAATTCATTTGGGTTGAGATAAGCTTGCGATAAAATAACACAACAAATGTGATAGAGCAAAATATGAAAATTCACGCATTTCACTTGCACACACATGCCAAAAAAAGTTTTTTTTTGTTTCGTTTTAATTTAGTCATATAAAGACAGTCACTGTTTAAAGCGCAAATTATTCGACCAAAGAAGAATCATCAAAAAAAATGTTCTTTTTCGTTGCTAATTTGCATATAATATTCATTTAGATTAAAAAAGAAGCACTCACCTTCCGTTCCAGAGATTAATCCACAAAGTAAAATCGTACAGACAAATAATTTAATCCAAATATCCATTTTGTCAAATAGCCTGTTTGTTAACCACATTTTGAGCCACTTTGTTTTTCAAAAGCACGGTTCGCAAGAAAAGAATTCTCTTTTTGTGTGGTTGTTTTTGATCGTTTTTCGTTTCTTTTCCGATATCTGTTTTGCTGCGCTAATTTTTCTGGCTTTTTTTTCTTCAAAAAAACTATAAATTATATCGTTTAATAATATTTATTATTATATTAATCCTTCGTTTACATTTGTCCACACTGTTTATCGTTCACTTTAAATTGTTTTCAATTTAGCGTATATAAAATATACGCTGCAACTTGTTTTCTCTCTCCTTCTTCCTTTTGAAATGATGCACTTTGGAATGTTAGTTTCACAAATAAAAAAAAACGAATTCCGTTTCATTCACTGTACGGTTGAAACAACATCAAACAAATCAATGGTTGAAAATTATTCGCATAAAATCCAACTCACGATTGCCGACGATTGTCCGTTGTTCAAGTAATCCATTTCATCGTTTTCATTCATATTTCACCGCACCTCAATTTTAGCAAGGCAAATCATTGAAACTTTAAAATTGTCACCACAAACTACGAATTCACACAATTTTCAATGTACTTTATGTCACCTGGCTTCACAGCCAATTCAATTTCTCTCTTCCTTGCACTAGAATACGACACGGTACGATTCGGCTTGTTTTCCACTACACGAGCTAACACTTCTTTCGTTGAACCGTTTTTGTTATAAAAATTTCTCTATGTTGTTTTTTTAAACAAAATCTATCGGTTAGTTTTGAAACTCAAATTTAAACATAATACGAATAAAATTGTAAAATAATTCGTAAAATGAAAAAGAAATAAAACAAAAAAGTGAAAACAAACAAAAAGTTTAAAAACTGAAATTTGTTTGACTAAAAAAAGTCAGTTACACATGCGCGCAGCTATCCAGTTTGTTAAACGGCTCAAACTATAGTAACCGATGCATCTGTTCCATGTCTTTTTCTCGCACTCAGTTCAATCCACGGCGCACCCATACACACATAACGCAAGCGCACACATTCACAATGCACGACGCTACACAGCATAGGCAAGAATGTATTAGAACGATTTACTTTGTTTACTCGTAGCCGCTTATCGGTCGTTTTCGCTTGTTGTCTCTTTCGCATTCATCGCATTCATTGCGCGTGACATTATCCGGTTGACTCGCTCATCGCTTTGGTATATGCAGCGTCAATGTTTCTACTGTGAACATTTATGCTGCATTCTTGTCTTCACATTGATATCAAACACTCTTGTTCAATTCTTCCTACCAAAATGGCGTCCATTCTTTTGAACTACTGCAATTTTTTTTTGTATAGGATCAACTCTAGTACTCTCTTCATGTCAATTGTAGCAACTGTTTGAATTACAAATGTGGAAATCGATCGTTTATGCTGTGCATTTTTCAAAGAATCAATTCTTTTTTTTCATTTCAAAGTTTTTTTTATTGGTGTAAAAATATTGATATATTTTTTTTTTAATTTTATTTCAACGAAATTGTACAGATATTTTTTTTTCTCTCAGTAAAATAGTTTTTAAACGAGATTAAAAGACGTAGTAGATTCAATAATGGCTTCCACATACATCATAACTAGGTTTACTTCACTCAAACAGGTTTCTTTGCCACTCTTCAATGAGAAGAGAGCACACAGTTTTCATATGTCAGCAGAGAGGGAATTGAACAGCCGGCGAGAGTAAAACGTAAATATCACAGGGTGATTCTGCGGTTTTATGTTTAACCGTTCATGTGATAGTCGTTACTTCAGATATGTAATGCGCGATGAAAAGAGAAGAAAAATAGGGAAATAAGAATAAAATGAGAAAAACTGAAAAATAAATAAATAAAAATAGCAATTTTTTCACATTTGTATATGCAAAGTAAAAAGTAAAGTGATTCTTTATTGAAACAAAAAAATCCAACAAAATTCCTAAACAAACAATAAATTCTGAAACAAAATACTTGCTTGCGTATGTCTACTAAAAAAAAGAAAAACCATAAGAGCGCGCGGGTTAATTTTTGTACGTATGGAAAAACCATATTCGAACCTAGAGAATGCGACCGATTATAAAAACGATATCAAAATTGTCTTATTTTCTCATATTGTCCGATCGCACGCCGAATACATTGGTTGAGCATGTGATCTCGGCATTGGAATTATGATAATCACAGTGACTTTGAGACAGTTTTTGGTTAAACTTAACGCATCAATTTTGTTTCCGTGGTGCGAACGTTCATGAATCGTCTTGTTTAAACTTTTTTTTTCAATGAAATATTATGTCTAATTAAAATATCCTTAGGTATCCGATGTGCGGTCAAATTTGTTAGGAATGTGTAGTAAATAAAATATATATAAGTATGTTGGTGTATTGATCATGGTTGCTTTGGTTTCCATTTGTATGATCCATAGTATTTGAAGTTGTTTTCGGTGCATTTTTCATTTGCTTCCTTTGGACCACGTGAACCGTACACATATGGAATTGGTGGCACCTGTTTCGATTCGATTTCATGCAATAGTGGTGTGAATATCCGCCAAGCTTCCTCCAGCTCATCTGAACGAACGAAATGCATTTGAGATCCGCAGAATACATCCAAAATGAGACGTTCATATGCATCAGGCAATTTAACTTCCTGCAAGGGGAATGAGAAAAAAAACAAATCTTAGATTCTTTGTTGAAATTAGAAGGAAAAATCCCTTTCATTACCTTATAACGGCATCCATATGTAAGATCCAATTCAGTTTCTTCCATATCGAAAGTGATGCCGGGTGATTTGGTCATCATTTTAACGTACAACGCTTCTCCTGGTTGTACACGAATAACTAATTCATTACGTTTTGGTTTTCCTTCGAAAATATCGCCGGGAACATCGTGATACTGAATACGAACTTCGGCTTTGCGTTCATTAAGTGCTTTGCCACATCGTAAGATGAATGGAACACCATCCCAACGTTCGTTGTTAATGCGTAGCACGGCCAACGCATAAGTTGGTGTTGTTGAGCCAGCCGGAACGGTTGGATCATCTCTGTATCCCATTTTAGCTTCACCCTCACCATTTGGATCGGCAACATATTGACCCAAAACCGTATCTTCCAGCTTAATGTTATCGATACTCTTCAACACTTTTACTTTTTCATTACGAATGTCATCCGGATGGCATGAGGCCGGTTTTTCCATAGCAACCAACGATAGAATTTGCAACAAATGGTTTTGCATCACATCACGAATAATGCCGAATTCATCGAAATAACCACCACGACCACCGGTTCCAAATGGCTCTTTGAATGTTATCATAACGGCAGCAATATTCTCACGATTCCATGTTGGACTGAAGATTTTATTTCCAAATCGAATGGTCATCAAATTTTGTACCATTTCTTTTCCCAAATAGTGATCGATACGATAAAGTTGTTCTTCCGAGAATAATTTTCCCAAGTGATCGCTCAATTTTTTTGATGAATCCGCATCTTTGCCGAATGGTTTTTCAATGATCACACGATTCCAACCTCTGTTTGAAGAGAGAGTGAGTGAAAGAGAGGAAAAATCATTAATTATGTTAAAAGACAATCTCCAATGAAAGCGACAATTAAAAAAAGAGAAAGAATTCCAAAACAAAAAAATTAAGAAAGTTGTTATACTCACTTTTCACCCATACAAGTGGCTTTGATCAATTCCGTTACCGAATCGAAAACCGATGGTGGAAGTGCCAAATAAAATAAACGGTTTGCATGTGGTACATTTTCGAATTTTTTAATTTCCTGGTTCAAAAGTTCAAAGTCACGACGAGAGTCATAGCCTCCAGCGAAGTAATAATTCAAACGCCAGAATTCTTCGTATCGAGCTTGTTCGCCAGATTTGACTTGCATGTATGGATCACACTTGGCACGAAGCTCGGCTGTCGTCAATTTGGAGCGAGCATATCCATAAAAAATGGTGCCGGTTGGCAACAAATTGTCACGGAACAACCACCATAATGTTGGATAGATTTTCTTTTTTGCCAAATCACCCTGAAAACCAAACGAAATCAAAATGTTAATTTTAATTAACATACACGATGTACAGTAGAGTGTTTCCGTAGTCAAAAAATAATAAAATGGTAGTCGTTAATTAAAAGTGCAAAAAATTCTAAGACAAATCATGACATTTACACAAAGCATCGAATGATATTGACACTTCCCGAAGCAAAAAATTCTTTATAGCAAAATGTGTCTAATGTCAAAATATTGAATTAGCATTATTGATGTGAACCGAGCCTTATGACATTTGACGTTCATTTCATTGGTTTTCGTAATGTCATAATCGCCGCTTCATCCATACCGAGAACATGTTTATCGTTGTAAATACAAAGTTTACGCAGCAGTGTTAATTCCAATTCAACGTTTCAATTATTCTACGATTTTGTTAGTAATTCATATTATTTTCGATATACGTGCGTTTTGTATCAATTTATTCCGAATTGTTCAACACTTGATCGATCGATTGATCCGGAGTCCAAGCAGATTGTTGAATTCAAATCACCGTGAGTAAACTTAATTTACAGTGAAAATTGAAGTGAAAAATATTGGTGAATTCATCGGTAAAAATTATTATTTTTGATGAGATTGCCAGCGAATACACGATTAATTCAAAATTTGAATTACGTGCTTATTCTAAGCAGTTATTCATCTCCTTCTTATTGTGAAATTCATTCTTATTTCATAGCACGACATATAAGCCATTTGTAACGTGAAATATATTTAAACTAGTCCAATAATTATTTAACGTTGAACATATTAACAGTAACATTACATTTTATGAAAAAAGTAATGTATTTCACAATTATTCTGCAGTACATAATTCTGTTGCGTGTGGTGGTGAAATTCATTTCAAGCAGTGATACCCACTTTGAATTGGTTCCATTGTTTAGAGAAGAGAAACAATAACTCGCTTATCAAAGAAATGTGTTTAAATTTTTTTTTTCTCTCTAAATCACGTGCGAAATGCCAAAGCAAAGCGTTGGAGCAAAAAGTTTACCGAAGAGGAGCGCCGAGATAGAGAAAACCGTGAGCTGTACCCGGTGATGCCATCACCAAAAGGGTCACATTGGCTGGACTACATCAAGCACCGAATCAAGATGATGAAGCATGGAATCTGCGCTTACTCGACTGCCAAGTACACTCGACTCGCCTTGGACAAACACATCAAAAGCAGTAGTGTTGTCGACAATTGGGTGGAAAAGGTTACCGATAAGCAATCGACATTGTTTCTTTTTGGTGCTGATGGGGAAGTACCACCTGACAGCCGAATAAGTATCAAAAAGCACGTGCGGTGTCCAGGGGTTCGTTTGACTTTGAGGTCAATAAAGAAACGTCGAGATTGTGCCATAGAGCTGGTGGACGAATGGGGATCATCTCAAACAGACGCAAGATGTATGAAGCGATTCCAAAACCAGCCCAAATCGGCCAGATTCAAGAAATGCCGGTGCATACCCGACGCCAGAACATTGCTGCCAATAAAAATTGTGTCAAAGTTGGGCAAGAAGGATCTATCGGAATTTCGATTGTTGCAACGCGCCATGAACGAAGCATTGGAAGAAAACGAGCCTTTATTGTCAAAAGTAAAAAGTTACTATAAAAACTGGCAATTAAACCTCGAATGCTCTGTAACTTGGCATCGTGACGTCGTGGCTGCTAAGAACATTCTGCTGAAAGGTAAGGCTAATTGACGATACAATTGCGATTGAATGATTACTTAAGAAGATTCATTTGTTTGATTTTTCAGGACTATGGACATTGCTAGGACTTCCGATACCGGATGCGATCAATAGATATAAAGCCCGCGATGCTGTCGCTGAGGCCGCCGAAGTAGCCGCTGATGTCGCTGAAGCAGCTGCTGCTGCTGCCGCCAACGTAGATAATGATGTAGAAATGTTCGAGTACGACCAGCAGCCAGCTGATCATGCTGTCTAATTAGCACAACGCAAACAAAAAAAAAACAATTGTAACATTAATTATTAAGGCTATCCCGACCATGTGGGATAGTAGCGTAGCAAAAGGTTGACACCCCATTTGGTTGTTGTTGACTGCGCAGGAGTACAAATGGGGCGTTTTTTCTTTGTAAGTAACATTCAATTTTGAAAACAGTTTTTTGCTTCGGGAAGCGTGACCATCAGTCGATGCTTTGTGTAAATGTCATGATTTGTCTTAGAATTATTTGCACTTTTAATTAACGACTACCATTTTTTTATTTTCAGATATGAGAAACACCCTAATGTACAGTTTACTCGGAATGTCGAATTTAATTTGATATTTTAATTCTTCATTGGGCACAATCGTGAAAACCGACCCAAATCATATTTTAAGGTTGTAGTTTTTGAATAAATCACTTAAGAATGTACTTAGGTCTGCTCTTTTGCGACTAAAGCACAAGACCGTTCCCAAACAGACAATATATTAAGCTGCCGTCATCTGGATATTTCAGCTCATCTGGATGCCGTCAGCAGATGATACAAAGTGAAAACAATAGAAGTGATTGTTATAGGTATATAAGCTTGTTATATACTGGTATTACTATAACAATCACTTCTATTGTTTTCACTACGCATCATCTGCTGACGGCATCCAGATGAGCTAAAATATCCAGATGACGGCAGCTAAATATATTGTCTGTTCCCAAATAAGAGGAAATGTATTTAACTGAAACGTGTGTATTCACACATTCGGAATATTTGGTTCCTTAAAACAAAACAATTTCGAAAAAAAAGAAAACGAACAAACATACCGATGCACCAAACGTAATGAATACGTGAGGATATGAACCATCAAAATGAGCGCCTTCAACTCGATCCATGCTGTTTGATTTAAGTGAGCGTCGAATTAGTTTTAACGCTTCTTCGGTTGTATTCGATGAATCCGACCCGTGTCCTGTAAGCAAATCCCGAAAGCAAAAACGTTTAACTTGATTAGTTTGGCTACATATACACAGTGGAAATCTAAAGCTAAATCAGCTGTTTATCATTCGTTTAACCAAAATAAACACGTGAATTGAAATGTCGAAAAAGTTGGTGATAAATTTTTTTCATTAAAAAAAACCAACAAAAAGATATGGAAAAAAAATGTATACAAGTGATAAGCATATCGTTCGATAGTAATCAATAAATGTACTGCGCTTTTAATTATGTTCAATTATTAAAAATAGAACAAAAAAATGCGATATATTGTATCATACGATAGCGATGTGCTTAACCATTTCAAGTGGAACAATTGAAAGTCATTGACAATTTATAAAAAAAATTGAGATTTGTTCTGATCAAAAGCCAGGAAACAAGTTGGTTAATCCGTTTGCTGTTGTGTATGTGCACACTGCACCAAAACTAGTTTGCCATGAAAGACATAATTCAACTCTGTATCAAACTGCGACGTTATTAATCTTCTTAGATTACGTGCATAAAAGCACATAACTATCAACAAGCACTCGTTCTTTCGAATTTTTGCCTCCGTGAACTTTGACATTAACTGTTTAATGAACTTGTTGAATAGCTAATTAATTTTTAAATCGAAACCAAAAACGTGTCTTCAAAATTAGTTAGTATTTGTAAGTTAGAATTATTCATGAGATAAATAGAAACTCACGAATTATAAATCCAAATTTATGCAGATAAAAAAAGTGAAAAGGTTCAATTGGTCTAAATTTAAAAAAAATTGGCGCACATCGATAAAGCGGTTTATTCGATGTTCCTAACCATTTTACAATGTTAATGGTATTCAATCACACGCACAACAATCGAAAGTAAAAAAAAATGACGTAGTCAATTCTATTTTTTTGTTATCGTACTTTTATGAAGTCATATCAATTACATATCATATAATTTCATTTTTCATTGCGATAAATTGCTGAACCACACAATTTCTGAATGTCAACAGTTAAAACGCCAAACAGTATTAAATCTGATTGTGCGCACGACTTTCTGTTGTCGTCAACTTCACTTGAAATAAACTTAAGTATAGATATTACAAAAGATTTCAATACGTTACGTATATTATTTCGAAAGATCACTTCTTTTTTGACACAATGCAACTAACGATTGAATGAAAAAAACGTTTACCGTCTGTCAAATCTCAAATTCAAATATTACTTATGTATGTGTGTGTACTTTTTTTATCGTAAAAATGGTTCAAAAACTGAAAATGTAAACACGTTACGTTGCGTTTGTAAGTGCAAGCACGAGGTAAATTTACATTTATCCGGTTGCGTATGACAACATTAGCAATATTTACTTTTTCAATGAGAAAGAAAAAATATCTATCAAATTGAAAGAGAAACAAATGAAATTTTTACCTCAGCTCGCTGTTCGGTTTGGCGACTGTTGGTATTCACACACAAAATTTGACTAAATGATTCGATGTGATGGAGAAAAAGGCTAGACCGCTTACGAAAAACACAAAATTCTTTCTAACCTTGTCGAAGCGGTAGCAAAACGACGAATAAGCAAATCGAACCACTTGTTACGTGCGATAAACTCAACACACATAAATTCCTTTACTTTTTACACATATTTACTCAAATATTTCTGTTTCTTTTTCGTACAATAATCATCATATGGGAATAAAAAAGTGCGCGTGTAAATAGAAAACCAAAAGGGAAAAAACACAACGTAAAATTTTGTTGTAAACCGTACGTTAGTAGAAGCACATGTGCACACGGTATTTGTCGCATGGAACGCTTCGACACGATAACGAAAGAGAGGAATGAGAAAAAGAAACGAGACAACAAAAGATTTGTGTTGAACAAAACAAAGCAGTTCATTCATTTGTGATTTGCAAATGCACACAAACACATGCACACATTTTTAGTTGTATGAAGTCGATTTGTGCGTTTTCAAATGTTTGCGTTTGTCATTTATCGACGTCACTGTGTATTATTTTACATAAAGTTTTTGCGCTTGAGTGGACTCGGTGTTTAATGATGTTGGCAAATATAAATCTGTGTTTGTGCAAAGCATCGCATTTAATTGGCGAAAGTCAAGTTCATGACTTACACGTACACTTTTCCATGGTTCAAATATCGTAAGATACTTGCCGCTATTTTTGAATTGATTACGATCGTACGATCGTTTTCACCGATAATTTATCGATTGGTTTATTGGTATTGATTTCTAATAGGGAACTTTTATTTTAAACGGCTTTAAGATTTTTTTAACCCCTTTGAGAAACTGGTTATTACGCAAACTTAGGTATGAACAATTAGAGATCAAAGATTTAAAAAACGATTTAAACGTAGCCATTAAATTTAAGAGACAAAATGAAGTCGGAACTAAATCTAAACGCGCTTTTTTTAATTATACGCAATAAAAAGACCAACAACAACAGGCAATAATTTAATTAACGCTCATATCTAATTATTGTTCATAAATTTGATTAACACTATGCTAAGCGCCGTACGCGCTTTCAACGATAGTATTCCAAAAAAAAGTTGCTAAACAAAATTTAATACAAAGACAGTTTTGATTCTAAATTTAATTTGTTGATACAGAACTGCAAGTTGTCTTCAAATTCAATTGTTTATTATCATAATCACGTGCTTATACAAAGAAAGCGAATAAAAAACCACGCAATGTCATGACATAAATTGTTATAATTTATGACCAAATGATTTCGTTTATTCCCTAATGGAACGTCAACGCAATCACTGATAACATTTCAAACTCAATAAACTTGCATACATGTTATATAAAAAAGTGATAAACGGAAAAAAGATCTTTTCATTCAGTGATAAGAAAAAACTAGTACATTTCATGCGGACTTTTTTTTGCGAGACTTAAATTGATTACTTGATTGACTTAGAGTGTATTGTTGGTATACGTGCTCGTATGACGGAGCTCACTATTCCATTATTTTGCATCATGACTCAGGACTTTAACCTTCAGCAAGATCACCGAATTGACCATCAAAAGTATTATATTCATGCCGATAGGCCGTAGAAACTAGTCATATCCCAAAGAATTCGTACGGAAAACTTTTTGTGCCACAAAACTGGATTTACCTTCCAGTTTTTTTCTTCAAAAACCGCAGTCAATCCGATGAGCAATGTTTTGGATACGTTTTTCTTTATTTAATTCAAAATAAGTTATGAGTTGTTAAGTGTTGTATTTTCATTGAAAAAAAAAATTGCTTTTCTCGGTCAATTTAAGTTTGCATATGCGACGGTTATGTAAGATATGCGTTGCATATTATCCATATATGTCGTGAAAATGTCGCCACCACCAGGTTAGGAGGTGAAATTAATAAAAAAATCTCTAGAATTCATGTCATAAAAATGGAATTGGCCAAGAGCAAAAAAACAAGAAATAAAAAACGCATAAAATTGTTCAAGTGTGAATTTTATCGCATTAAAATGTATTGACCGTTTTAATGAATAGTTGATCGATTCAAAAGGTGAAACATAGAGTTTGACTTTGCTGAAATATTGTTTCAATCATCGTGTGAGATAGCTAAATGTTCATGCTTTTTTTTCTGTCGTCGCGTCAATATTAATGATAGATTAGTTCATTTATTTCGATCTCAATCAATTTATCCTGTGCAAGGTTTCAAAGACATTGTGCAAATCAAATACAATAAGTAAAACAATATGTAACACTGTCTCAAGCAATTAAGAAAAACAAAAATGCGTGACGGAAACTATGCAATCACATTGACCTAAAAAAAGTAAAACTAAGTCTCGAATCCATTCACTATGATTTCATTCTGCATTGGATTTGTTGTTGCCACATATTTACACCAGCATTCGTGATCTAATGACGGTTACACAGAGTCTGGTCGGTAGTGGGTATATATTTTATTGTTGCACATAATTGCAACACTGACAATTACCCAATAGACATGTATAAAACCGTCTTTCTATCATATGCAATAAATAGCGATGAGATATGATAGAAAAAAGTAATACCGAGTACGAAATTTGTTTCTCGGGCGGTGTTGACAAGAACTCTTTTTCTATATTTAGCAGAATAGTATGATGACCGCTTGTATGCAACTTTTTATATTTTTAGGTTGATTGTTGAAAATTTCAACTGATTTCTAGCATCTTTGGGCGTTAATCGCGTTATTATCGGTTCACTAAATCTATTTAAAAAGAATTGTCACACCGAATAACCGAAGACTTATCAAAAATGCCACACAGATTTCGTACTCAATGCAGTGAGCAGAGAAACATTTGCCACCCGGGTCTAAAATAAACGCCGCTTCACCGGGTCTAAAGGTTAAAAATTGATATCATTTTTGCTGTACATAAATGTGTTTGTTTATTGTCCCACTGTTGTTCACGTCCAATAGAATTTGAAGAAATAATCTTAAAGCACAGTCCTTGAAATCAACGGAAATTTTGATCTTGAACAATGACTTTGAGAACTTTCTATTCATATTTGAATTTTCATAGAATGATTTTGGAAGTAAATTGTTTTTTTCTTTCGTATCGACCGGATATAACTTATAAATAAATTGGCTACTAAGATTTATTAAGAGAAAAAAACACGCACAGACAAACTTTGGTGATGACTTTTATTTTCGTAGACAAACACGCACTCAAATCACCTTATTCAAATATGATAATTGCAATTTAACGATGACTCTTGATTTCTATTTAATATTAACTCACCTGTCATTTTGATTGATTCTTTCAAAAATTAGACTTCAATTAAATTGAAAAGAAGAATTATTTCACAAACAAATGCCAATTTAGACAAATAGAGAACAAAGAAAAAAGCAAATTCTATCCAATGAAATTTGAAAGGCAATTAACCAAAAAGCGAATGAAAACACTTGCGCTCGCTGCAGTAACAAGACTAATACTACGCTGACATCGATTGGAAGTTTAAAAATATAACATTTGTATGTGTTGAAATACAGACGTTCACCTCTTCGGTAAAAATCAATGCTTTGCATATGAGCTCAACAACAAAGATTTGTTATTGCTTACGAGTCGCATGCTATCGATGTGTTGATGTTTTTCGTTCGGTATGATACGTCATCTTATGTACATTGCGTATGACAGAGCAATGAGTATATGGCGCTGTAGTAAACAATGCGTACAGCGTACACATACTGGTCAGTTTTGAGTTTCAAACCTATATACGCATGCATATGTTCGTCGGTAATTTGAAGGGTGCCTGAAATCAAGTTTAGGAGAAATTTTTAAATCATTTAAATATTTAATGCATTGCAATATATGATTGTGTTGGGAGGGGAAATGGTTCATGAATGAACGGACTCTTTTCTGTAGTGGTAAATGGTAAATGTCATCGTAAAATGAAATACAGTCTAATTTCAAAATATTTGATTTTGTAATATGTTTATTTTCATAAAAATAAAGTTTATGCATGTAATTAAATCTGCTTAAGAAATTGAACGACCCTGCTCTCATGCATGTAATGTAGTTAGATGTATTGTTGTTGTTGTTTTTTTATTTTATTAAAAAAGTCTCGATATAAATGTGTAATCCTGAGTTCAAGAAAGGCGCGTCGTTTACCACCGTTTTGGACCACCTCCACCGCCACCTCCACGACCTCTGAATCCACCGCCGCCACCACCTCGGCCAAATCCACCTGTTTAAAACATTTTCAATAAAAAAGAGAATTTGAGACACATATTGGTATAAAGTATTTGATTGAATCGATTGAACTATGATATTTTGAGCCAATGAAAATATCTCATCTGAATGAGCTCAACTGTTTTTTGTGAAAAACTGAATGAAAAGAGTATGAAGTGTCCATGCTACTTTATGCTACTTCTTTCATTCAGTAAAAAATTAATTTCTAAATCAGCCAAATGAGATATATAAAGTGGTTAAAAGAATCTCAGTCCATCGAATTGTATGGAAATTTTCGCGTTTTGGAAAGTGACTAGTTTGATGCTTTACCTCCACCTCCTCGGCCTGAAAATAAAGCAAAAGGAAATTAAAAGGTTAATTCGGTTCGACAAAAAAATCATGAAATTTTCAATCCTTTAAAGTTTTTGCTTGTCTCTTAATGTACGGACGCAAAAGTTTGTTTCAGAATTTAAAGAAATGTATGGTCTATTCTTACCTCCACCAGCTCCTCCACGACCTCTGAAACCACCGCCGCCACCACCTTAATAAAATTTTAGTTAAGAGATAAATTTGCATGAAAATGTACTATGATTATAAAAATTGTTTGGCCTTAATCGAATTCATTTCAATAGCAAAAAAATGACTCAATCATTTCAAACAAAATAACAATATTTACCTCGGCCACCGAAACCACCTCTACCACCGCCCCCGAAACCACCTCTGCCGCCACCTCCTCGTGCACCACCAACACCTCCTGGTGGTCCCTTCTTTCCCTTTGGTCCTTTGGGCTGTGGTGGTTTTGGTAAAAATCTATGCAACGGCAGCAATTTGGCTGGATCAATGAATAACTTTACGAATGAGATAGATTTTTAAATAAATGTTTTGATGAGAAAATGTTTAAAATAACTTTGATTGAAAAAAGCACGTTGTAAATTGCGCGCAACATACCTTTTGTTGTGACTTAAAACTACCGGCTTTCATATTTTCACCGAGTTTAATCGTAACGTAGTAATCCCGTAGATTACCAAAAATTTCGTCAATTTTGCCGATTTGTTCTTTATTCTCCAAGAAAATTGGAGCATTGAAATATGGAACATCTTGAATGGTAACCTTGCATACTAAATCATCTTGGCACGCATAATCAAAATATCCTAATGGAATTACTTTTTCGGGGGGTCCAGTTTCAAACTTTTTAAAATAAATTGAATGAAAAAATCGCGCTGTAAAAGACACGCAACATACCTTTTGTTAAACACGAGTTAAAAACATACCTTTTTAAAACCTCCACCGCCGCCACCGCCTCGGTTTCCACCTCTGAATCCGCCGCCTCCTCCTCGACCAAATCCTCCGCCACCTCGTCCACGGAAACTCATGTTGTTTTAACTGTCGTTTTGATTCTCACTTGTATTTTTCGTCGAAAAGATTCGATTCTCTCAGTCAGTCTTTCAATTCTGAAAATTCAACACAAGTCAAACAAAATTCGTTAATATTCTGCAGAGAATCAATACAATTTTTCTAACAAAAAATTGAGAAAATAAACAACATTTACCGACAACGCGTTTGTAATTAAGGTTAAGAGCTGACTATTATGATGCACGTGTTTGAAAGATAACTCAGCTGTCAACATGCAACATCTAATCGTCTGTCAAATGAAAATGGGTGCGTTTAATACCTGTTTTAAATATTTCCCTTATGTATATAGGGCAGGGTTGTCTACGAATGAAAAAAAAAATCCTCTGACCTGATAACATTTTCCACGCATAGATTTTCCATTTATTAGAACAGTTTCTTCATTGACATTTCGTTGGTGGAAAAACATCAATATGTTTTAATCCATATCATTGTACAGCATTCAGTTTTCGCAAATAAATTTCGTTCGTCTAAATAAATTTTTCATTTTAATTTTATTTATTTCGAATCGCATCGAGCGTTAGCAAACTCGATTTAAATGACTGATTTTAGTGAAGGTGAAGATGAAGTGTTTATTCGTTATGAAGGTGATAAAAAGATAAATAACAGTAGTGGAGACGATGATTTCGACGATGAAGAAGAAATAGACGTAGCAGCTGGCAGACGATGGGATCCACTTGGCGAAGAAAAAGATAACGATGAAACCGTTGTCGACCAAACGTCACGTCATGAAAAGTAAACAAACTTAAATTTTTAAATAAAATATTGTAATAAACAATTTATATAATCTCTTGTATTAAATTGCAGTGTTGATGGTAATAATTCACAAATCAAGCAGTTGGAGACTGAACAAGAGCTGCTGTCTACGTCATTGCAAGCATTGACGTCACATTTTGCTCAAGTGCAATTTCGATTGCGTCAAATTGTTGAGTCTCCGGCTATTGATCGTGATTCGTTGCTTCAAAGTCTCGAAGAATTTGCATTTCGCGGTATTCCCGAGGTGATGCGATTGAATCCACGCGAACATGAAAATCTCTACAAAATAATGGAACGACAACAGAATCGCCAATTTGAGTTAATCGAACATTTGAAACAACAGTTATCCGATGCAGAAAATTTTGCCTATGAATCTGGTGCGGACATATTGCCACAGTCCATTGTAGTTGAGAAACAAAAGGCCATAATAAATGAATTGAAAACAAAACTCAAGTTGAAAGTGGACGAGAAATTCTTACCCACATTAACTGAAGATGATATTCGTGCTCAGGTTGACAGTGCAATCGGTGAATTTGTGACACCATTGAAAATGCAAGACACACTCGTCAGCCAATTGAAAACACAAATTGTCGATTTGGAACGATTCGTGGCGTATTTACAAACTGAACAAGAAATGACCCCGGAAATGAAAGCGGCCATTAAAAATAGTAAAAATCCAGAAATTGGATTCCAAACATACAATTCGAAAACGGCACGCAGCAGAAAACAATCACAATCGGATGGTGGAAGCAAAGGACAGAAATCGAATGCACCAGGAACTAGTAGGAGTGATTACAGTTCCGGCGACCATGATCTCTCTGGAAAAGTGTCCAATTTATTGGTCAAGGCATCGGCTATTTTAGATATGTTTGCATTAACCCAACTCGGCTGCGGTAGTCAACGAATTCAACGGAATAGTTTGAAGAAAACAGCAAAGGGCAATCATTGGGGCGATCTACGAGCTCAGCTTGAAGTCGATGTACAAGAAATCATATCGATGGTGGCATCCATTGAAAAATTACAGAAAGAGAACACAGCGATTCAAGAGTGTGATAGTAGCGATACTGATGATTATCAAGACGACCACACTTCAAATAATGTAAGTAAAAATAATCGATTTAAATTAAATATAAAAATTCAAAAATGTATTTTCTTCTAAACACAGTTAAAAGCAAAGCGAAAACTTAGCCAGGCGGACAAAGAGTACATTGCATCGATGCAAGTGGAAATAACAGCATTGGTTCGAAAACAGTTTGCAATCACACTACAGGGACTAATGCAACATGGCCTCCGTGATAATAGTAAAACGTCGACAAGTTTGGTTCCGTTCATTGGATGCATGTTGCCGTTACAACAACCAACACCCCATAGACGAGTTGATGAAACCGAAGAACGTCCAAATCAACAGATGCACGTGTGGGAGCTCATTTTAGAATATTATCATATCAAAAATGGCGATCAATTCAACGATACACCGGCTCGAAAATTATCCGAATCGTTCAATTTAGATATCATGGGACTTGGGTCACAATCCTCTTCCAATAAACATACGCTGCTCACGGTCATCGGTTCTATCATCGCTCTACATGCGCCATACAAACGAAGCTATAATTCACATTTCAAAGCATTCATTTCGGCTGCATTGAAGTGAGTATAACGCTATTTGCAATCAGTAGCATTCGATTTAATCATGATTGAATCTTTTCAGTGCGCGAAAGCTAACACATTGGTTGAATTTGATCTATCAGAGTCCAGATCTCATCGAACAATACTACACCGACTGGAGCTATGTGGCTCACACTGGGTTTCGCGACGCATTACGAACCATTGACCGACTATCTCACCATGATTTCGATTTGCCCGTTGATTTAGCTGTACGACAATTTCAAAATATCAAAGATATTTTTTAATCGATGGTGTTTTAATGTAAACTTATTCCAGAAAACAAATCAATTTAATCTCAATTTAAGTACTTAATTTTCATTCAAAGAAATGAGATCTCATCATTCGAAAATTCCAATTATTTCCATTATTTAAGACGTAAAATACGAATCATTCAAAACTCACCTGAACACAGGCGATTTAATCGAACTCTCTGTATTTAAATACGGGTTTTATTTTTTGTGTGATGACATATTTATTTATTTTATTTATTCAATCGTTTCACAATTTCTCAACATTTTTCTTTTTCTTTTTTAGAGAAATTATCTTTATTTACATAATAGTATCTCTTATCATGCCATTGCAATTGTTACTATTTAAAAAAAACTATTCTAGTCTACCGAGTTACTTGATTTGAAATTTTTAAACACTTCAAATCTTTCAATCGATTCTTCACGATGTAAAAAAAGAACAGTAAATAAAGACTTTATTGCAATCTTATGCAAATGTTTACTTGAGAAAAAAACGGACATTTTAATTTAAACTAAAATTTTGTGTGAAATAGTCATTGCACAAAAGACAAAGAGGATCATTTTGACAATAGGGATCCATATGCATCTCACATATGTGTATTGCTGCTATTGAGCATGTGTGTCTTACTACATATGCGTGAGAAAAATCACAGAAATGTCAAACATACCGCATCAGTTTGAGGAGAACAACAACAACGATAACATCAGTATAGTGCTGATTGAGCAAGAGCTGTAAACAAAAGAAGAAGAAGAAGACAGCGAAGAAGCGATGTAAAATATGAAGTTGTAAGTTTTTTTTCTGCAAAATTTCCATTTGTTATCCCATATTTTTGGCCATTCAATACAATCATATGAACAAAAAAAGATTGAAAATTAAATTAAAATGAATAAGTACCACATACTGAGTCTGAGTATGCCAGAATTGTACATGATCAAAGTCAAATAGAATCCGAATTTGTTAACTTGTTGCCTTTGTCTTTCGATAATATTGTTTATCAGACTAATGCATTTCTATGTAATTTTTTTAGCATCGTAATGAGCGTTATAGTTTGGGCATTTTTGTGTCAAGTGCTGTGTTGGAATGCGGTGAATGCTGTTTTCATTGAAACGCCATCGCTAGTCGAAAAGCCTGAAGATGAACAATTGGATTTGTTGTCGATCAATGGTCGGGACTTTCTCAGTAATATCACAAAAGACATAAGTGGCAAACCATGGCATGATGATCGGGAACAAAATTACATAATTCGCTGTCTTCGACCTGCAAAATGTGAACGAATACAAACAAATACATGTTTTGGTAGTAAAATTCCATATAAATACACCAGCGGCCAATTGTCGGAAGAAGGAAATCAAGAGTCAAATATTAAAAAACTAAACCAACTCGAAGCATTGCGAAATGTTCCAAAGTGTTGGGAAGTAATTCAGGTAAAAATGTCCCTTCTACATGCTAAAACCATAAACAACATTTCTTTCTAAGAAATCCCTTTCTTCATGCATTTTGTACGATAACAACATACTTGTGTCTTCCACGTGTTATATAGCCATTTTTATGTGCAGTTTATTTGCCAAAATGCACAAAGAGCAAAGGCAAAGAATATGTTTATTTGCCATCATATGAAATGTGCCAAGCAACCGTTGAACCATGCCGAGTTTTGTACGATACCGACTTCTTTCCGAGCTATCTCAAGTGTGATGAAAAAGTGTTCCCGTGCAAAAATTGTAGCAATGATGTTCGCGAAATGAAATTTACACCAATTTCTAGTCAGTGTATTTCACCATTGGTTGCAACTGATTCGGCTATCAATTATTATCCAGGTAACGTTTGAATTCATGGTTCATCAATATCGTTCGAAATGCGAATTGATCATTTTCCATTAAACATCAATAGATATCGAAGGATGTGGTCTTCAATGTAGAGATCCTATGTATACGGAAGGTGAGCATGAATCAGTGCAAACGTTGATCTTTTGGGGCGCAACACTTTGTCTGGTTTGTAACTTTTACATGATCGCAACGTTTTCGATTCATGATTGGCGGCATTCAAAACATCCAGCATGGAATTTATTCTACATTAGCATTTGTTTACTGTGCAACTGGATTGGGTGAGTATCTCAACGATGATCTTATAATCAATTGAATTCATAAAACAATGATGTTTTTTGTATTTTATGTCATTTTCAAGGTGGATGTTACAATTTGTGCCTGGCCATCGAGATAATATTGTATGTCGTCGCGATGGAACATTACGATATTCCGAACCGAGTGCCGGCGACAATTTGGCCTGTATCATCCCCTTCATTTTGGTCTATTACTTTTCGATTGCGGCTAATATATGGTTTGCCATTTTCACATACCATTGGTACTTACAGACAAAAGATCGAGGTATGAACTGATCACGTCTTGCAAGCAAAAGCTCTTGATTAAATTACAAATATTGCATCATTTTAGGAAGCATTCGAGATCGTATCGATAAAGAGAGTTTCTACTTTCATTTCATCGCCTGGGCTCTGCCCTTCATTTTAACTGTCACCATAATGGTGCTGAGTGAAGTGGATGGAAACAGCATTACTGGGATTTGTTTTGTTGGTTATCGAAATCGTGCCATTCGAACCGGATTAGTATTGGTGCCAGTGGCTATTTTATCATTTATCAGTGTGATTTTCACATTTCGGGGAATCTTGAATTTGAATCGCATAAAACGTTGTAGTGCTACCAGCAGCGAAGAAGCATCAAAGCTCAGTTCACACATTTTGGGAATGGGCATACGAACGATGCTGGTCATCTTTTTCACTTCGTCATTTTTCGTCTTCGAAAATTATGAGGTGCCCAATGCTACAATGTTCGCCAAGAGTTTGACCGATTTTATTACGTGCGTATCAAGCGTTGTTTTCTTGTGTTTTGATTCACTTGAGTTAAAAACTACTTGTGATTTTGTTTTTGCAGATGCAAAATAGTGGAAAGCAGCCCAAATGACGTAACCAAGTGTAAAATTCAGAATCGTCCTAGTGTTGCCGTGACTCAACTTGGCTTGTTGAGTTTATTCGGCGTGAATTTGGTAATAACGTCGTGGTGCTGGACAACGCAAGCGTTGAAGACGTGGAAAAGATTCGTTAGACGGTATGTAAACGAAATAATTTTTATCGCATTTCTTTCTCTTGACAATATGCTTTCATCTACAGAAAAACTGGCAACGAACTGAGCGAAGATGATAAAATGCGTCCAAAGCATCGAATTATCGCTGATGCATATGCCAAGCGCAAGCACATGGATGGTGACATTTCAGTTTCCATTGATCATACTCTCACCGATCCGGCTGGCTTAAACTTCGATGTAAACAATTTAAATCCAGCCGAATCGGATGGAATGAGCTCAACACTGAGAAACTATATGTACAATATAATCAATCGAAGAGGTGCCGTGGAATTGGAACCCTTCACATTGGAAGATAAACGAAATGGTGTATCATATCCGAGCTCATGTGCCGAAAATAGTTATAACAATTCGGAAGTGAGTGTGAGTGTGCGACATATTGAGGTTGAGTCACGTCGCAACTCAGTGGACTCACAAATCTCATTGAAAATGTCGGAAACAAATTTCAAAGCAACACTAGAGAGCCGACCGCAAAAGCATAAAGGTATCAATATGAAAACGAAAAAACGTCAACGTAACATTTTGTATACAAAACGAACCAATCGTCGAGCGAGCAGTTCATCGATTGAAAGTCAACGAATTACGAATCAAATGCAAAATTTCAAATATAAATATCCGAAAAATGGAATACCAAATGTGGGTGAAAATACGACGTATGGACGCCGCAATGCCATATCAGCCAGACCGGGTGACATTTTAAATGAGTTGAGAAGTCAGTTTAAATCTCACGATGATGATGATGATGACCAGTCGATTGATGAGGCGCAAACGATGGAAATAAATGAACCATCAAATATGCTTGTACCAGTAGATATGGGAGCATGTTCACATCAAAGAGTAGACAGCATTGACAGATTGGATGCATCACATGATAATCAAGCATCCCTCGAACAAATAATCATTGGATTATTAAGAAATAGCGACGAAAAAAAAATAAAACATTTGCTGAAAATGAGCCACGATTATCCCAATGGTGTGGATAAAAGTCATCGAAACAGCACAAAACGCTCGAAAACCCAACGTAATTCACATCACAAAATGTATGAACAACAGACAAACGATGAATCACATCCATCGATTATAAAAACTGAGAAAGATTCGGGTACGTCAATGTCATCATCGATAGACAGGGAGATGTCTCAATCTCAAAATAGCAAACGAAGTTGTGATGTTGGCATTCAGGCCAATGACTTTGATATCGCAGGGCAACGTTCACGAAACAATTATGATCAGGATGAGGAATGCACCGAAATGCATCACTTATTGCCAAATGGCAGAAGAAGAGATGCACCAACTATCGTTCGGAAAAATATAAGAGAATTCGAAATGTCGAGTGGACCGCAAAAAATGCAAAAAGTACATGATCTTCTGTGGCCATAAAATTGATTATTTCAATACTGAATATAAGAAATTCGATGACATTTTGCATACATGCAACGTCACACCCAATTTATGTTATTTACGCGATCAACCAACTATTTTCTTTGTACGCTTTTTTTTATCTTTTTGCGTAAATTTTTTTGTAGTATTTTATCTCATATTTTTAGCAATGACGACAAAAACAATTTTATTCTTTTATTTTAACAACGAAAAAAACTATTACCATGTAGTATTTAGATGCTAATTTTAGCCGTTAATAACACTCAGAACTGATAAATGCAATTGCAAGCATTTAATTTGGACTTTTTTTTACCCAATTTCTTTTCCTTTGCGATAAAGAATAATTATTCGAAACAATGGCTCAAATTTCATTTATTCTCATTCTCTTGTATCGTTTCGAATTATACATATATAGTCTTTATATTATTGAATCTCGTTTTTATCACCGAATTAATGAAGCGAAATAAGTTTTTTAACGAAATACGGAAATTTATATCGAAATGTTTTATTCATAAATACTCAAGACTTTTTGTAATGTATTGACTTTTAAATCTCTAGGTTTAAATAAAGATTAATTCTATAAAATTTCAAATGATCATTTTTTTCATATAATATCATAAGGTTTTCCTCAATTCCAAGACATACACATGCTTGTATGTGCATCATTAATCACTTTTTTAAGGTTCTATCAGATAATGTTGTTATATTCCAGTTCATTGATATAACATTTTTGAAGGTCGACCGCAATAGAAAATCATCTTAAACCACAAAACCAATGAGCAATTTATAAATTGAATTATACAATATGCAACTGGCACCTTTGATTAGGTGATGACTTTTTTTCACTATTTAATAATGTATTAACAAGAACCATTAAGTATGAACGTAGATTATGTAAATGATTATATCGGTAAAGCTACAAAGAAAAAAAAAGTAGCATTTATTGCTGATAATGTCTATTCGTGATTCAAAATATCTGTATTTGTTTCAATTGCAATTAAATTTCAAATTGAAAATCCATTAAATTCTAGAGAATTCTTTAACTGAGCCATTTAGTTCCCGAAATAATATCAATAAAGTAATTAATAACTGGTTGAGATTTTTGTAATTTCTCACCCTCTAAAACGGTTTTCAACAAACATCCGTATGAATATGAACAAAAGATCATTCTGAGTAATTCAGCGAAAAAAGCATAGCTCACGCATTGTCCTTTTGCAAAGAGAAAAAAAAATGAAAAAAGTAATCGTTGAGGTGAGAATGCATTCAATAGAAAAAAAAATGAAATTAACATATTAGGTTGCGTGCACTTACCATTGGCATTGTATCTATAAAGTATAGAACATGAAAACATCCAATATCTTTTAATCGACAGCAATCGTTGAATTTCACGCAATTCGCGAGCATTGAACGCCAATGTGAAATAAAAGTAAAAACAAGCAAATATAAATGCCGTATCTTTTATAATGCCAAGAATGAAGTGAAAAAAGGTTACGGTTCTGTTCAATTTTTTTTCTTCTTTATTTCTATTTCCATTGGCAACAACAAATGAATATACGTTTTGCGAACGTGTTTTTAATCACCTACCTATGTCAATCATCGTTGTTTGCATCTCTGTTGCCCCCCTCCACCACCAACAAGCAAATTTACTTTCAATGGAAAATTTCATTAGCAATTCCGAATCATGCATTGTTTTTTCTCAATACTTAATTTTCATTCCATTTGATTTTAGCTTTGTTTCCATACAGCTGATGTAAAAGTGAACGAAAAGATTTACTATAAATATGATGGGAAAGTACGGTGTAGATATCAGTTCACTGTGACCAAGCAGACAGTTCAGTTATTCAGTTATAACATAAAAATAAAATAATTTCATTATGAAATACTTTGTTGTTGCTTTGTGCTTTGCCGTAATTTGCAGCATTTCTGTAAGTTTAATTTCATTTTACGAGTGATTCCGTTACATAGTTCTAGATCTAGAGCAATACCGTTGACAATAGTTAGAGCAATATTTTGAATGATATTTTTCTATCGTTGATTTCAGGCTGTTACCGATGAGCAAAAACAAATTGCCGATAAGGTGGCAAAGGACTGTGCCAGTGAAAATGGTTTGAGTGCAGAGGAGGTGCAAAAGATTCGCACCAACCCAAAGAGCACCGTGAATGATCCAAAATCACAGGTAAATGAAGTTGAAAATCTGTGATTGTAATCAGTGTTTTGTACAATTCATCAAGTATTAAATATATTGTGATGTTTTCTCTAGAAATTCGGCAAATGTTTCCTCTCAAAATTGGGTTTCATCGACAGCAATGGTGATTTCCAAGAAAATGTTGCCGTTGAAAAATTATCCAAAGGTGAGGACAAAGCCAAGGTTGAAGAGATCGTGAAATCATGCAAATCGGTCATTGGTGATAACAAAGACGAAAATCCAATCAAATTGTACGCTTGCTACTTGGAAAAGAAGGCTTTGGCTTAAACACCCGACAATCAAACATTTTTCAAACTTTAAATATATTTCGAATTGTATGACCCAAAATATGAACCAGCCATAAACTTTTTTCAATAAATTATTTAATCAAAATACAAACTTTTTTCTGTTTTATTCATAAAAGAGGAATATTTTCTTTAGTTTCCAATGTCTCTTAGTCTATATATAGTTATTTCAATATTAAATTGTAGTAGCCAACATCAGCTGTAAAATAATTTTTATTCAATATTTTGGAAAATATTCATCGATTTGGTTTGTCCACGCATGTAGTCCCCCAATGATGTCATAGATTTGTACTGTAGAATCATCAAGTTCTTCGATCAGTTTTTTGGCAGCAATTTGTGAATCATTGCCACGCCGGCATATAACAAAAACTTGTGGAATCTTTTCATTCTTGATGCGTTCGATTAATGCTTTTCGACTGGCGCTATTTGGATCCTGAAATATTTTGATTGGGTGATTTTCAGATTGTTTTAAGCTACAGATTTCGTATTCGTTTTCGGATCGAACGTCAATCAATAGATGCTTGTCATTGTTCTCACGATGTTTGTTAAGACTTTGCACAGAAATCCGTTGATTTGGCGGCAGCACTTCCAATTGTAATTCTTTATCTGATGCTTTCATCCCGCAAAATTGTTCGTAATCAATGAGTGATGTGATTTTTCTTGGTTCTGCACAAATTTCACAATTTCCTGATTTGCCTCGTAGCTTAACATTGCGAAATGTTGAATTCACACCATCGAACAATAGTAGTCTACTGCTTAAAGTGCTTTCAATACCAGTCACAATTTTAATCGCTTCGAGTGCTTGTAATGTCCCAATGACACCAGTAATCGCACCAACGACACCACCATCGCCGCAGTTCATTACTAGAGATAAAAATAGATACTAGAACATTAATAGTGTTCTGGAAATGAGGTGTATGGTTTGTGAAATTGAAAACATATTTAGTAATGACGAACCTGTTTCTGGTGGCGGTGGCTTCGGGAATAAACAGCGATAACAGGGTCCGTTCCGATAGTTGTACACGGTCAATTGACCTTCAAACTGTAGTGCACTGCCGGACACTAGCGGTTTTGAACGAAAAACACAAGCATCGTTCAGCAAATACCGTGTTGCGACATTGTCTGTGCAATCCAATACAATGTCATAGTTCTGTATGATTTCGAGTGCGTTTTTCGAATTCAGTTGATCTTGATATGCCGTCACTTTTATTGATGAATTTAGCTTTTCCAGATGGTTTTTGATTGACACCGCTTTTGCAGTGCCAATGCTCTCTTCTTGGTGCACGATTTGTCGATGCAAATTATTCAATTCAACTGTGTCATAGTCTATGATTCCGATATGACCAATTCCAGCTCCACACAGGTAAAGCGATGAAGGGCAGCCTATGATGTAAAAAAAAAATCAGTTTCATTTGACCTATTTCAGTTGTGTGTAACTTACCGAGTCCACCGGCTCCAACAATCAAAATATTCGCATTCCGCAATTTAATTTGTCCCTTCACACCAATTTCGGGTAAAATAATTTGCCGACTGAATCGACCAATTTCGATATTGGTTAACGAATTTTTATTGTTTGATGGATTCGGTTCACTTGAACTTGCACGTAATTGCTGCAGTTCCACTTTTTTCGCTTCTAATTTAGTGGTTAATTCATCGATTTCCTTTTCTAAGCATTGTATTTTCTCAGCTTTGGAACACATTTTAATGTGGAAATTTTATTTGAAGAAAGAAAAATAAACTAAAATTTAATGTTTGCAGTGGGGATTTTGTTTCACATGTTCAAAAGTTGTCAAAGTTGTTTTGATATGAATGGATACGTTCAACGCATTCACATTTTGACAAGTAACAATTTCATCCCATCTGTGTATGACAGATTTTCAAATAACACATCTCAAATAGTCGAACGAAACTATAGTCTTTTAGCTAGAAATATAAAAAATGTCTTTAAATTTGGTAAATTATAGTGATAGCTCTTCGGAGGAAGAAATTGAAGTACAAAAGTCTGTGCCTGCACAACTAACTGTTAAGAGGTTAGTTTGCAAATAATTATGTGTATTTTGTCGTTTTGATGTAGTAATGTTTTTTTTAGTAAACTGCCGAATCCATTCGGAAAACCAAATGAGGTCGTTGATCACGACGAAAATGACATGACTGAACACAATGGAAGAGTTCGAACATTCCCTCATGAGCGTGGTAATTGGCCGACTTATGTTTATATCCACTGTAAGTCAATAAATCACTTATGCATTGATACTCAAACAGTTGAAGACATCCACTCATTTGTTCTTTATTTTGTGTAAAGATCCGCGAACAGATTTGATTGTCACACTACAGAATAAGCTGCTCGATCTAATAAAACAGCAAACTCCATTCTTAACCACGGAATTCCATTCACTCGAGGAGCTACATTTGAGCCTGACCAAAACGGTTGTACTACGTCATCACTGGATCGATGAGTTCGTTGGAAGTGTTGACCAGAGTTTAAAAAATGCAAATAGGTTTGTATCATATACTTCAACATTTATTCAAATGATTAATACAAGCATTTTTGTTTCTTATAAATCTATAAATTTAGATTTTGGATGAATTTCAATACGATTCAAATCTACTGCAACGACAATCAAACGAGAACTTTTATTAGTTTATCGTTTGTGGACAAGGAATCGGTGGCTGCACAAATATTGGAATACATTGTAAATAAACTTGATAATTGTCTCAATGAATTTAAATTGCCACCTTTTTATAAAGTAAGTACTTTTCGAACCAAAAAAAAAAAAAATACAATGCCAAAATTCACAAAAACTATAAATCTATGAAAATGTTCAATCTCAGGAGGCGTCGTTTCATGTAAGCCTGCTGTGGTGCCTTGGTGATAGGAAACAAGAATTACAAGCATTGTTGCCAGAATTCCATTCTCTCCTGGACCACCTATTATCGTCCGACGATGCAAATTTTACACTTAATGTCGAGCAATTATTTTGTAAAATTGGGAATAAATTGTATAGCTTTCATTTATGATTTAAAACTACTTGATTTTGATTCTTGATGTATATGTGACATGTTCTGCCCAGACGGCGTATGTAATGGTAATGAAAAAGAAATTTGCGTTTGAAAGTGTCCATTGTGAAAGAAATATATGGCTGACTGAATGATGAATGATGTCAGATGAAAATGGCGTAGATATTACGACATTATTACTCGTCACAATCGTAGTAGACAGCTCTGTAGAACGAAAAAAAATACATAAATTAGTCGATGCATTAACAGATGAGCACACTGCTAAAAAAATTGATTCTTTCTCACCGTTGACGGTCAAGATTGCGTTTGGAGAGACGTCTTGCGTTTGCTTGTGTCATCAAAGTGAACCGTTGTGTTTGCGAACGCACTGGTCTTAAATCTTTTTGCGACAAATTTTTCATTTGTTCAACTTTGCCTATGAATTTCTCGATTAAATCTTTGCAATCAAGATTCTCTTCGGGCTCCCATGAGTCAGAGTTCGATGAATAGCCTTTCCAGCGAATCAAGAATTCCCGCTTATTATTGCGTAGGATGTGAACGTCGAGAATTTTTTCAACTTCATAGTCTTCGTTTTCATCCCAATCGGAATCGTAGTCAAGTTGCTCATCAATTTTCAACTGACGTGGCTTTGGTACCACTGGCTTTTTTTTCTTGATTCGTTTTGCTGAAACGCTGGCCTCCGGATTCTGTATTATAAAATTATATTGTGTGAGAAATGAATTGAATAGTGAATATAATGTGTCAAATGTACCTCTTCGTAGTATTTGGCTAATAGTGCCGGACAATGGATACTATAACTAGTTTGCCAAGTATCATCACTTTCATCATACCCCTTCCAACGTATCAAGAAATACTTGGTATCGTTTTCGAATTTGTGATCCAAGATTGCTTCCACTTCGTATCGATCGTCGTCCTTCTTCTTCTTCTTCTTATTTTTCGTCTCACCGGACTGTTTGGACTGTTTCTCTTTCGGCGTGCTCTTTGATGCTGTTGCAGATGTGCTTGGCTTTTGTTTTTTCGGGTTTTCAGTTGCATTTGACGTTTTTCGCTTGCGACTTGCAACGGGAGCCTCATCATCGGATGACGCAGATGAATTCTCCTTTGATACACCGTTTTTTTCATTTTCTTTGTCGTTTACCACCGAATTTCTTCTTGTACTACGACTGGTGCGACTTGTTGAAGCTCGTGGAGATGATTGGCTTTTATTGACTGCGGATGTCCGTTTTGACCGTGATGATCGTTTCACGTCAGACAAATTTTCGTCTTCATCACTGCTTCCAGCAGTTTCAATGTACTTTTTTGCAGCCGCTGTTCGTACTCGCCCCATATTCAAAATATTCTTTCAAAGAAATTTTCCGTATGATTTCTTCGATTCAAAAACGTAATTTCTTATTTGTTATGTCAAATGCCAACTTATGCGAATTGAATAAATGGTTTCACTTGCTTTTTTCTCATGTAAACAAAATAAAAAGATTTGCACTGTTTTTTTTTTTTGTTTTCTACCAAAATGGCGGCAATATTGCCGATTTGTATTGGTATATTATTGAGTGCGCTGTGTTATAACTTCATAAGTAAAATTTCCCAAAAAAAATATCCCAATTCAAATGACAGTTCGTTTGACAGGTGCTCTACTATCATCGTACTACATTTATTTGATATTTTGTGTGGCAGAAAATAGAAAATAATTCGGGTTTTTGGCCTGTGAAAAATTGTTTGCTGTAAATTTTAATCATCATGCTTAGCGGAACCAGACGAATTCTCTCAACAGCCGTAAATAAATTGATAATAATAGATTTTATTTAATTTGAATGCAATTTTTTCTTATTGTTTTTATGACATGTTATATAACTTCATTTATGTACTGTATTGAGTATAACCAAAACACTTGATATATATTTTTGCAAGGATTTAAAATGTGATTTTCTCAAAAATATTTTTCAAAGTTGAGAAATGTCCGTGGATTTCAATCATCTGCCACAGTATGCAGCGATCATTTGTTCGTGCATCGGGATACACCTGAAGATAATCCGAACATCAAATTTGAGTTTACCGCAGAAAATCAAAAGGTATGCAAGAGATGATACTTTGATTTGATGTAGCCGAAATTCATTACATAATTTCTTTTCATTTAAATCAAACAATGTTGTAGCGTGTTGAGGCCATTTTAAGCATTTACCCGGAAGGTCATAAGCGTGGTGCAATGATTCCATTGTTGGACTTGGCTCAGCGTCAATACGGCTGGTTGCCAATTTCAGCTATGCACAAAGTCGCTGAGATTCTAGAATTACCAAATATGCGTGTTTATGAAGTGGCCACTTTTTACACAATGTTTTTACGTAAACCAACTGGAAAATATCACATACAAGTGTGCACCACAACACCATGTTGGCTACGAAACTCAGATGTTGTTCTCAACACATGCCGAGTGAGTTGAAAACGTTTAAATCGCATCTTTTATCATTTCAATATGTTAGCGTTCTCTTATTGCGTCGTTCATTTCGTCAAACAGCAAAAATTAGGAATCAATGTTGGTGAAACAACAAAGGACAAAATGTTCACCATATCTGAAGTCGAATGCTTGGGTGCTTGTGTTAATGCTCCGATGATGGCCATAAACGACGATTACTACGTAAGTTAAGCTCAGAAAAAAAAACATTATGCCAACATGAAGGGAATGTGTGTTTCTTGATTCTTGATTAACTCGATGTGTGTTTGATAACAGGAAGACTTGACGGCCAAAGATACCGAAGAAATTCTTCAGGATTTAATCGATGGAAAATCACCACGGCCTGGTCCACGCAGTAATCGATATGCTTCGGAGCCGGAAGGAGGATTGTCTTCGCTCACCGAAGAACCAAAGGGTCCTGGTTTCGGTTTGCAAGCCGGTCTTTAAGTGAATTCACTCGCTAATTGTAACATTCAACATCTCCGATTTTTATTAGTTTGTATCAAATAAAGGCGTCTGAAAGCATTAAAGGTTTAAATTTAACAATCTATTATAGTATAATTATCCTGCGTTTGCATTGATTTTCAATCTTTTGCCACACCGATTCAATATCGGACAATTGCACAGCTCACATCCTACCACACTAGATCAGTGATGGTAACACTATAAATGTGTCATACACAAATAAGTTGTTACCATCTGTCAACTAATAAATGAACTGAAATACAATTGGATAAAAGCCATCTAATTTTGCAAAAATTAAAGTATTTTTGCCAATTGCATACACTCTAGTGTTAATTATTTCTTCGAGAATTAGATAAAATACCGTTCACGACTTTGTTTGACGCATTTGATGATTTATTCGCTTAATATTTGTAATCTTTCACGCGGATCTTCGATAGAATAAACAATGTCAAAGATCGACGTTGCACCAGCTCAACATTCATCAGAACATATTCTGAACAGCCTCGATGATGAATGTCTTGAAGCGATTTTCAATCAATTGAAATCAAATCTCAATGACTTAATTAATGCAGCTGAGGTGTGTACACGCTTTCAGAAAGTTGCAAAGATATGTCATGCAAATTCAAGTGAAAGGATCACAATTACCAGTAAATATTCATTGGATATGGCATTTTTCTGTATACCATTTGACCAAACACACAGATTTCTGAGAATATTTGGCGAATCACTTCATTCCATTCATTTGGTGTCAATTCGTGAGCAGAAATATTGGTTCGATGAAAATTATACTTTGGATCGAAAGTCCATCGATGATGTTCTAACCTTGATCGCTGATTATTGTGGAAAGACTTTGACAAACCTTTCAGTCCACACCAGTTATATCAATTTCAATGTACGATCACTATTCATCGCTTTAGAAAAGCTATCATTATCAACTGCTTTAATAATTGGTTTGGGATCACTGCCACAGTTGAAAAGTTTAGAAGTAAGAAACTGCAAAATTCTACATGCCGATTTGTTTACGCAACCATATCCAAAGTTGGAAAAGGCTACTTTTGTTTCGATCGATGGACTAACAGACGATGGTTTCATTGGATTTCAAAATCACAATCCACAACTTCAAAGACTTTGGTTAACGTGCTTGTATCCAAATGTCAATATAACATCTTCTATACTGCGCGGAATTGGTGATCGTACACCCAATTTGACAGAATTTTGCTTAATTTGTAACAAAGATGAATCGCTGATGAATAATTTAGCCGCCGATATTCTACATTTGAGCGGATTGCAAGGATTGAAGAATTTACAAATTTCCTGTAAAAGTTCACCATTTTCAGTAAGAACGCTAATCGATTCATTTGCGGAAAATAATACACCGATAGAGAGTTTGGAAATTCATGGAGCACTACCTGATTTTGTTGACAGTTTACCAAAACTGAAACGACTGAAGCAACTAAATCTTCTGAACATTCCTGAGGAAATGGTCATCAACTGTTTGAAAGAACTAGCATTGGAAAAACTGTGTCTGAAAGGCGAAGGATCATCGAATGGAATTAAACAGATTTTGGAACATGGAAAATGTTTAAATAGTCTTATTGTAGAAATAAAAGAGATAACAATTGATACAGAAACGTATAATGAGTTATTAGGTTTAGGTCGCGATCGTGTTCAAGTTAGCGTGACTTGTTTTAATGGTGTACATTCTGTTGAAAAGGATGTACTGAAGGCAAATTATGAATGGTTACTTCTGTACGTAACGAAAAGAAACGACAAAAACTGAACTATTGATATTTTGCATGTTTCTTTTAAATGGAATCTTTATTGAAATCTACATTTTTTAGTATTTTAATAAATAACAAATTGATAAATTTCATTTTTGTTTTTTAATTTGAATAATTTTGAATTGTTTATCATATTTTTCCTGTTGTAAAACTTGCTTAACATTTGGCCATAATTTTAAAGTTCATTCTCTCACATAACTGTTGTACTTGTGTTTTTTTGGGTGTATCTCCGTTTTTTTTAACCAATCGTTTAACTTCTTCTATTATGTGATCCAAAAACTTGGTTCTACTGCCAAACGGTGCCTTGCCGGGAAATAATCCGGAATTCGTGACATCGACAAAATCAAATTCATCCGAATTACTTGAACGTTGAATTGGTTTAAATTCTTGACTCATCAGATCAGCATTATGAATTGGTTTTCTGTAAATTCCAAAGCGACAGTCACTGGATCATTGTTACACTTTGATCTTGTTACAATTTACATTACCCATATTTTATAAAGTTTGCGAATAGTTTTTGCATCACGTCCATTGCATGAAAAGCTATTGCACTGTCCCTATCGGCCTTCATATTTTCTTTTACCTGGGATGCATTAGCATACAAGGTACATCTGTGAAAACGTATTGTTCGTTCAAAAATAATTAATTTAAAAATTTAACCATTTTACCGAAATATAAATTGCGATTCGTCGGCATGACCTGCTCCAGGATACTCAGGATGTGGATTTATTATGGTTTGAAGTGAAAATCTATTACGTTAGTATAGTAAATAAAAATATATTTCACAATATTTTCGGCTTCAGTAATATTTCGATGGATACTAACCGATGGTAAAAGGTGTCCTTTTTCGATATAGCAACATGTTGTTCCATCCATTTTTCGTGGGCGTAAACATAGTACAGATCTGAATCCAGAACGAGCCGTTGTCTTAATAACTCTTGATCCGTAGTACTTGTGGTGACGTTGAAGTAGAAATTGTGAAGGTTTTTCAGCACAGTTTTAAGATATGGAGGCTAGAAAAAGAACATATTTAATTACCGAAAGAATCTTAAAAGTCTAAAAATGGACAAAATACTAGAAATATGTTCACTTACTTTCTTATCAATTATTGATTTATATCCAAAAATTGGCAAATCAATATTGAAATCTTCTATATATTTACGAACAACTCTTGGGTGTGAATAGTTTGTTCCATAAATTAAAAATCTAGATAAATGTTCCTAAAGTGAAAAAAGCAAGTATAAGTTGGCGACATATTCATAGCGAAATAAGTCAATTCAATTTTTACATATTCGGTGATTGTGTAATAAGCAGGTTTGTCGATATTGTCTATTTTTTCTAGCGCAGTTATCGGATCATCCACAATAAACGCACGTATTGCGTTTGTTTCTATATGTAGAATTTTTTTTATAAGAAGTATATCTACTGAATATTTTTGAAAAAATTAGAACTTACTTTCAACAACTGGATTCCACGGTGAATATCTCTTATTGAATGTCTCATGAAAAAAGTTTATAATATCAGTAACATTTGCTTTTTGAAGAAAATTTATTAGTTTTTTGTCGCTAGGACGATCTTTCGAATGTTTACTGTAAAAATTTTCAATCAAACATCGGTGGTCGCCTGTCTGATAGTTGTGAAATCTATTTGGTGTTCCGCTAATACTGAGAATTTGATTAAAATATTTCGACGATTCTTCATTGATTAAATGCAAACCAACGCAGTTTCCGCCTGAAATAGATTTTTTTTTGTTATTCTGAAAGATCATAAAATTTAAGTTAAAATTCAAATGCTTTCCTGCACTAAGGCCGCCCAGAGTAATTCTATAGCGATCTCCACCAAATGCTTCGATATTCTCGTGAATCCATTTCATGGCCAATTGTTGATCTTTTAAGCCCATATTACCAGAATATTGTGGTGTTCCCAAAGACATAAAACCGAATATTCCAAGTCGATAGTTTGCAGTAACAAGAATTACTTCATGATCGATGAAATGATCCGGGCCTTGTTGACTATCATCAGCGGAACCCCGAGCAAAAAATCCACCGTGTATAAAAAATAATACTGGCAATTTTTTTGTATCTTGAATTTCTGTAAAAATAATAGAATATTGAAATAGTTTTTCGGTTAAAAGACACATTTCGATTTCGCTATTCTCACTCGGTACAAATATGTTAAGGAAGAGACAATTTTCACTTGTTGGATGTTTCGATACCTGAGCGCACCAACTACCATAATCATATGCGTCAATTGTTTTTGGCCATTTTTCAATTGGCTCAGGTGCCTGTGAAAAGGATTTGATGTTTAAAATGTTAAACAATTGCTTGCTTTGATGGCTTGAAACTATTTATTCAAAATTAAACCTTATTCTATGACAAAATTAGTGAAAATAATCCAAATTTGGTCACTCATACCTTGAATCGAAGTTTACCAACGGGCGGCTTGGCATATGGAATACCTCGAAATGAATAATAGGGTTTATTCAACCAAATTGTACTTTGCAGCTTTCCCCGAATCGGACCACTTTTTGTGACTACAGTTTTTTTTAACTCAATTTGATTTGAATAGTTCACTATATTTAACAGTGTTATGCACACGAGAAACATAGAAAATCGCATCATATTTACAACGTTTGTACTTATCTTAATAGTGAAAAAATTGGAATAAATGAACTCATCGAATTATCGAAATTTTTTGTTAATAATCATCAATTCCATCAATTTCATTTGAATACTTCAACGTTTAGTCAATTTAAATTATGCCCAATATTTTCATTAATGTCATTCATTTTATTCAATACAACTTCTATAATACAAATTCTTTCAAGTAAAAATGTGTTGCTTATTTGAACAGCTTTTTTGCTCTTGGTAAAAATAATATGGGTTTTTATTACATGTTATTACATGTTATTACATGTTATTACGGATACAACTTCTATAATACAAATTCTTTCAAGTAAAAGCACGCTCTGCTCGCACTCCATTTAAAGCAATGTATTGAGTTTCGAACACGCAGATGTGCTGCCACCTGGTATCTCAAAGTTAAGCTGCTATAACGCATATGCTTCATGCAAATGAAGAAAAAGAGGATAGCAATGTCTTTACATAGGTTTGAACTTATAAATGTCAGAGAGCAGCACAACTGCAGTATTCAAAGTGCGATTGCCCTTCGAATAAAAATGTGTTGCTTATTTGAACAGCTTTTTTGCTCTTGGTAGAAAAAATATGGGTTTTTATTACATGTCTACAGAGTATCTGGTAATTTCACAGTTATAAGTTTTTTTTTTCAAGTGGAGTTTATAATCCCATACTTGTAATGTTGAAATAGTTGATTTTTTAAATGAATGGTTCTGAAGTATAAAAATATAGCAGCAGTGTTGTATGAAAAATTGACAAGATACTACAAGATAGGATGAAGAAGATAACATCTTATTTAGATATCTAGGTTTTATCTTATCTAGATACTATTTTCAAATCTTTTGTCTCATCTTCTATGCAGTAATTTGCGAGCTACACTTTACTTTTATTTTTTTGTTGCTCTTCACTTTTTTGGCGAAGATCCCTAGCAAATCGAAAGAATTTTCTCTGCTAAAAACCCCAAGAAATCGGAAAAATGTGTTGTGTTGTAAACCACCTACCCCCTTCGCACATTACTGAACTTATATGTTATCTAAGCTTTAAGTAATATCTTTACCCAACACTGATCAGCAACGATCAGTTTGTTCGATTAAGAGCGATTGTTAACAGACAATCAAAAAGTAGTAACACTGAATATTTAAATTTGACAATGACGATCAAATTTATGTAAAACCGCAAATGAAAACCGTTTATAACTGTTTTGTATTCTCAAAAGAATAATATAAAACTATTTTTCCAATCTAATTTGATTACTCAAGTACAAAGTAAAACGGCTTAATCAGTGGAGACGTCTTTAAAATAAGAATAATTTCAATTTGGTTTCATTTTCGTCTCTTTTTATCTGCTCCACTTTCTTTTTCGAGTTTGGCTTGTGCTTCGACCTCAAGTGCCTTTTGGCAGCGTCTTCCAAGCGGTGTTTTGGACCACCATGTATTAAATGCTTCTTCTTCTTCACGATAAACTGGATCTCTCAAGCTATATGAATAGAGATTATTATCAAGAACTTAGACCATAACTTATACTTTACCTTAAGGCACTGATTAGTTCAACATGTGCCAATGGTTGAACTCGGAACTGAAGAATTCTTTTACACGTAAGAACATCGTTCAAGCACTGAACAATGGATCCAATGGTGTATCCATCTGAAAGTCTTGCAATAGCTCCCGTATCGAAATTCGGACTGATGCCACTATATTTGCTGCGTAAAAAAAATTCAAAATAATTTTGTCAAATCGCTAAGAGTAAGAGAAACTGTAGCAAAAATCATACAGAAGTAAGTTTTTCCAAACGAATGAAAGAGTACCAAAATCAGGCTTTGGTATGTATATAAAACGATTATAAGTTTGTTGCAATAATTTTTGATCAGCCTCCCACGGGGCACTGCTAGTGCCAATAAATATAACTCGATCTTCTTCGGCAATGTTTTTAACAAGTTTCGACAAGTCTTTTTTCAATCTCTTCGGATCGGTACGATCACCTTTTGGCACCTTTTTCATAAACGGAGCTTCAGCATTGTCCATAAAAATGACACACGGTTGCAGTAAACGCGATACTTTTAAGACTAAATGCATCAGCATGATAAGACCCGACTTCCCAGGATATTTCCCCACGATATTGGCCGGCGTTAGATCGAATAGCAAGGCACCCACTTCATTGCAAATACTATAAACAAGAGACTTTTTACCAGAACCTATAAATACCACAAAGTCCATTTAATACAATCCATTAAGAATTAGAACATCTCTTTAACAACCTTTTGGACCTGCAATTAGGATTGATCTAATACAAGGTGCATTGCTACGGATTGTTTCAGAGCCCAACGGTAAAATTGCATACTCAATGAGCACTTGTCGAATATCGCCTGGTGTTGGATTTATTCCAGATCGCTTAGCATATGCTCTGTCGCCGAAAAATGAACTCAAACGAGTCTCTGGTATTTTGCGAATAATTCCATTCGTAACTAATTCTTCGAAAAGAGACTCGGTAGTTCGATCGGGCGTTAAATCTTTTTCTTTCTTTTTTTTACTCTTTTTGCCACTGCGACGTGCCTTTTTGTTACTCTTTTTCGATTTTTTACCTGGGTGTGAATCACATAGAAAAAAAAAACGGAATTAATGGGAAAATAATCAAAAGAATGGATAGCAATTAATAATAGAAATTAATTTTTGAAGTAAGTATGCCCGATTCTTTACCCTTTTGCGTTCGATCACGCTCCAAAGCAGCTTGAAGAAGTTCAAGCTCTTGTCGCATCATATTATCAATTACAATACGTAATTCACGTTCAGCTTCAGCATATTTATCCTAGAAATGGAAAAGAAGAAAATAAAAATGTGAAAACTGACCTTTTTTCTCGGTTTGGTCCGACTTTCGAAAAACTTTAAGAGGAAAGACGTAGCAATTGTAATGATTTCAACCGAAGGTGAATTCTTACCATTTCAAAACTCACATATAGCAAAAAATAAAAATAAATATTTACCGTATAGATCATATTTTTATAAAAAGTTTGTGTTGGATTCATAGACTCGTCTTTTTCTTTCCAAACATCATTGAACCTAACCAAATGAAATTAATCTGACATTTGAGTGATTTCGATTGAATGAGTTTTAAACGAATCTTACTCATCAATTTGCAATTTAATTTCATTTAGAAATGACGACTGATTCATTTTGAAACCACTTTCAAAACTAACTTCGGCGGTCAGGTCAATGATTTTTGTTGGTGTTTTTGATTTGTCTTTGGTTCTTTTTGAATCTCGCGATGACACCGGCGACGACCGACTTAATTCACTGTCTGAAACATCAATGAAATATAATACGAAATGAACAATACCATTTTTTGGGTTATAATGTAATAACACAAATTGAATGAATGCTTCGAATTATAATGAAGTGAACTAAGCAGTGATTGTCTTGGAATTTGTGTTCATATTTATTGTTTAATTAAATATTTGGAATACCTTGTCGACTTAAAAGCTGCCTTGAGCCGCCATGCTCTTCGCTTGGAAATTCAGGAAATTTTCCTGAGCGATTTTGGTATTCTCGAAACCAATTTCGAATTTCATCGGCAATTTGTTCGCTCAATGTCGTCGAATACTTATTCAAAATATCATCTTTTGCCTCCTTTACCGCATTCTCATAACTCTTTCGATATGACTCTTGATGTCCATAGCGTCGTTCGTTTCTCTTGATCCAAAAAAATTCAACAATTGTTAGTATTTGAAACAACAACAACAAGAACATTGGAATGAGAATGTAAACCTTTCGTTCATTTTCAAGAAGTGTTTCGTTGTTTTTCTCTGGTCTTGGAATCATTCCGATTAAATACATCTCTTCGACTTTGCCATGTCTTGTTTTGCGTCGAGTCGTGAAACCTCGCCACACTTTTTGAATTCGCATTGCTGCCACCAAACCATCAGTTCGATCTTTGATTGCGTCTGGTTTACCTTTTTCTTTCAATTGTTTGATTTCTTTCATGAATTGAGCCCTGTGATGTTATAAAATTGGTTGTTACACTTCAGAAAACTTACGCAATTGTTCAATAAACATACCGCAATCGTCCTTGCCGTGCTCGTTCATGCATTTGTATAATATGAATGGCTTCTACTTCGGACATTTTTTCTTCGACCACCTCTTCGTCAAGCCATCCCAATTTCATGAGTATGTCATCGATGAACTTCTTTTTGTAAGCAATATCATCTTGACTTTCACGTAAAAAGTAATTTGGTATTTTCAATTCCAAATCTTGCGGCACTAACTTCAAATCTCTTACTACATCGTCGTTGTAACTGAATTCCATCATATCAATGGCAACCAAATCATGTTTTAATTCAATGATACGACCCAGTGTTGAATCGAGCAGTTTTCGTATGATAATTCGCTTCTGCGGTTGTACCATTTGATCGTAGACAGTCTCAAGACGATTTGCAGCCACAATGTATTTGGCATACAATTCATAAATACAACGTTGTGCTATAGAACGGTCGAATTCCGGATCAAGAGCAAGCTTTTGATAATCGTTTACGGCTAGATTTTCCAAGAATTTTTGCGTCGAATGCCATAAATCGTTGTAGGTTTTATTCGACATTTTCTTTTTATTTCCGAACAAGAACTTATCTCAAGAAAAATATTTTTATTCACTTTGATACCTTTTGATCAGAAAAATAATAGCTGCTGTTATGATGGCAACCACATTACCAAAGCCACTTGGTAACCATAGCAACCTGAAAACCGGTTAACAATAAAAGAACCAACTTTCTTTGATGACGTGCAAAAATATTTAATCAATTTAATTCAATTATTTTTTGATTTTTCTTTCGCTTCCATTGACAAAACAAATTCGTATAAAAAAATTAAATATTACGAATAAATATTTATAAAAAAAAGTACCAAGCCGAATAATTGAACATACATAAACGTAAACAAAAAAAACTAGCAAATAAGATTTTAATAATTCATTTTTCTGTTATTCTCTTTTCCGAGTACTTTGAGGTTATTCTCACTGTTTACAAAAAAAAAAATTATCCTGTGATCCATTCGAATTGGCTTCTAGAATTGGTGTTATCGCGTTTGCGTTGGTTCCACCGGATGGGCTTTGCTGTTATAGCCATAATGAATTCCGCCCACGGTGTGCCTTCGTTTGATCGGTCGATTTGTGTAACGCCGATTTTTATGATTATTGTCTTGAATTTGGCGTTTCTTTGCCAAATTAATATTTTTATCAGTCTTCTCGTCTTTTGTCAGCGAATATCGATTCATTGCAATTGAACGGCAACTGCTGTGATTACTATTCAAAATGTGACCACTGTTACAGCAACACTCATTATTATGATATTTTATATTCAGCGACAATGAACGATTCAATTTGGTTGCTTTTCGTTCTAATGTGGTGAGAATGCGATTCATTTCACGAATTACTTCGCTATTTATTCGAATCGTTTGATTGCCACCATGATCGCTGGTATTCGATTCATCTGTATCGTTGTCATCCGACGAAATGGAATTTATTGATTTTGTATCAACGGCGTCTTGGTTGCGGTATGCCTTTGGCCCAATTATTCGATTCGAATGGGCTGGATTCCACGGTTTATTACGTATCGTTACATATGGATAACTATGAGTTTGTGTTTCAATGGGCTTTTCATTTATTGCCGGTATCGTGGGTTGGTCGGGTGAATCGTCGGCATATGGAATGGTTTCGTCGCCAATTGTTAATGGTTGCAGTGAAATGATTTGATGTTTTCGTAACAGCGAAGGTGTCAACAATGACGTTGAATCGGTTGTATCGTCCAAACATTGACCGCTCTCAGAATCAAATGATCCATTGTGTAATGCATAAAACTTATCTTCCAATGCTGGTATTAATGTTGCCAATGACATTGATCCTGTGTGAAGTCACACCGAAAAAATTATATTTATTTTTCAAAAATATGCGAAGGATCACACTCACCACTATCTTCGCAGAATAGATCGGCTGCATCATCAGCTGATAAACTGCTTTGTAGGCAATCAACATCGGTCATATTTTCAACTTTTGTCACTGATGAATCTCGGTATTCCGTTGACTGTAACGAAAAGATCATTAAATCGAATACAAAAAACTAATCGAATCAATTCAAATATTGAAGTTACCGTGCTGCTGCTGTCCATTGACATTGTGTCCGATGTCATTGAAGATAATAATGATGTTTGTTTCTTCTTTGACTTTCGACTTCGAGCCGCTTGCACAAACTTAAAACCGAATCGCGTTTTCTCCATTTGATCATTGTATGCTGCAGAAAAGATTGGAAAAATATGTATTCGTAATATTTTAGTGAATTGCAAAAAGTCAAGAGAAATGTTTTACATTCAATCTTGGAAACATTGTCCAGCAGAAGGTTCGTTTGTTCCTTCGGAGCGGTTTCAGAAACAGCTTCTGGTCGTTCGCATATTTTCGGCACTTCTCCATTCTCAAAGAAATACTCGTACTGAAATGGATATTAAGTTTATTAGCGATGCATTTCATTAGTAAACGTAGTAAACGTGTATCCAATAATAGTGGTTAACTTACGTGTGAAACAAGCGCTTCAACAATACGGCATTGATGCTTCATATCTTTCACAACTGTTTCTAATGTTTCATTGCAGCTGCGTACAACCGATGGCCCAAAAATGATGGCCAAATTTTTGGGTTCCATCAAGTTAATTTGACAGTTTTGGCTGACCAGGAACAAATGATGCATTAAATGCTTGAGCGATTCATAAAACTGAATCGTGATATTGTCGATCAGTTCTTTAAGCGCCGTTAATCTGAGACCAAAGACATAAAATCGATAAATATTTTCGAATTTGTGATTTTGAACCTCGAAAAAATTACCTTTTTAATCCCGTTTGATTATCAGCATCAATGAATTGGTTATACATATCATTCGGAATCAGAGCTTCTGGTAAACGACGTAAAAATAGTTTCAATAAACTTGATACAACGTTTACATCTTCCCATCGTGGATCGTTTAGCGTTTGTTCGTCGAATCCTTTGTTCACAAGTTCGGTGAGTGCCGATATAGCTGCCGTGTTGCCTGGTATCCTATATATGCCGACGATGGCAAGTCCACGTGTCTCAACGATGTCAGTGCATCGGGCTAGAATCAAAGGCACATACTTATTCTTTTCGGAAATGGGACACTGTGAGAGTGGAACACCAATGGACGCCACATTTGGTATGTCCATTGAATTATTCGCCGAATTCGGAGCACTTGTTTGTTGACCTTGAATACGGCGGAATTGACGAGCCACCAGCCCTTTCCACGTTCGAGCCTTTGAAGACATATCTTTTTCGAGCGTTGACGAACTGCCATTAATTTTATCCTTCGGCGCAAGTTGCAATTTATGCTCCTAATTAAAAAAATGAACAATATTTATGTCACTCGATTCAACACTACTAGTAGTTGTAGACACTTACCGTATATTCTGGCGGGCGTGTAATATTTTCGAGTTTACTTTTCCACAATTCAAAACTAGCTTGATCGTCGGCTTGAATCAGAAATTCGGTCTTTTGATTCTGTATCGCGACTGGTGATGGCGATGCGGGTTTTGCATCTGGGGAAACTGTTGTAAGTTTGAACACATATTTCCGCTTCGTATAACTGCTTTTTGTCACATGGAATTGTCGCAAGTTTATTAGGCCCGATGTATCCGTTGGCTGTTTTAAAATAAAAATTCAAATAGTAAATGTTTTAATTGTTCATTTTCATTTGAATGTTGGACGTTTCATTCACAAAACATGCGATACCATACCTCTTCGGCTTCGCTATTTTTAAGAATGGTGATTTGAAGTTTATCGCCAAGGAGCTTAGCTAAGATTCGATGCCATTCACGTTCTGGCGCTTTTTCATTCTCAATATATGCTATTTTCATCGTTAGCTTTCCATCGAGGTCGTGATCTGTTGATTTTTCTGATGTTGCATTTCTGTAATGAACGACATAGAAACAGGATTAGAATTGAATGGGATTGACTTTTGGTTTGTGTTGAACTCACCGTTTGAAAAATTGTTTCAACATCAGTAGCTCATCGCTCAATGTCGCTTTTTCTTCTTTTTTTTCAACTTTGACACTGTCTTCAATTTTTTCCGATTCTTGAAGAGAAATATCGTTGGCTGTCGCTCGTAAATAGGAAATTCGCCGAACAGATCGTTCCGCATTATTATTGACAATTTTTTGGCGACGCATCACAGGCGCTGTAGTTTCGTTGATTTTTTCAGACTCTGCAATAAACACAAACATTTAATTAATACCACATATTGTTACCGCCACTTGGTTGTCTTACTTTGATCACCACTATTGCCGTCTGCACCTAATGAAGATTTATCTAAACTAATCGAGTTTGATTGCAATGTTTGCACTTGTTCAGTATTTGTTAAAATTGGTTTTGATTGCTGTGTTGCTTGAGATCCAGATGCATTTGATGCCGTTGAATTATTATTTGGATTTGTTGCTTTGTTGTTGTGAATTTGTTCGTTGTCACCGTGCGAAAGCCGCGGTGTGCTCGGTGGTGTTTGTTCGTTTAAGATTGTTCTATCACTGTTCAATAAACAATTGTTAACACAAGTACATCCAATAATGGTCAAAAGTAGTGTCACATATGTGTTTCAATCATTAACGTCATCAATGGAAGGATGAGAAGAGGAAGAAAGAGTTAGTAAAAAAGCAAACTATGAATAAAGGCAAGATTTTTTAAAAATTTAAATAGAAGTGCATTCTTATCATCTATCGTCGAAAATGGATTTAATTCGATGTGACGCATCACCTGAATTCCATCCTATTGCGACGGTAGATGGGTGAAAGTATGTCATTTGCATTTCCGAATTAACTAAAAGCGTTACGTATTTTAACGTTGAATTTAACTAAAACGCGTTACCTTCTATCACTATAAATGCTTGAACGCGCTGAATTAACATCGACACAAATACCGTTGGACGATGCAATTGACGAAGTTGTTCCATAAACATCTCTATGAGACAAATTATTTTGCGGAAAAAAATATTGTGGATTATTTCGTGTTGATGTCACCACTTTGCCACTATAAATATTCGATGCACTTGCACTTTCACTTAATGGATTTGGCTCAAGCCGATGCGTGCTATTGTTGCCAGCCACATATCGTCCACCGTATGGTTCGGAGTAGATACTTTCGTTGAATGAATGTCGATGAGCCATTTCGTTGAGGTGCTTTGCATTCGGATTAATTCGCATTAAATTTGTCATTGCGACATTACTGCAAGTACTGGTATCCAAATTGGGCGATGAAACTGGAACGTGATTCGCATTTGATTGAATCGCATTAAATGAAATATCTTGTGGATTTGCATAAATACAAGGCCGTTGATTGGATTCGGGACTGTGAGCTGATTCGCTAAAAAGCTATGTATAAAAGACACACAAAACCAAAGAAGGCAACATTTTTATTTTTTTGAATTATTATTAATAAATGGTAATCACTTTCTAACATTTATGGTCAACATATGAATTTTTGCATACCGTTTGTAATATATCACAGTCTTTTGGTACGACAATCAATTTTAGAATGGCTGGTGTTTGTTGAATTGCTCGTACAACATTTGCATAGGGTGTTCCAGCAACCAGCATTCCGTTAACCGAAAGTAAACGATCTCCCGGTCTTAAGCCACCAATGTGTGCTGGCCCATTTATTCGGACATCTTTTACAAATACCGTGTCCATCGGCTGTGTTATATTCAATACACCAGCCACATTCCGTTCCTATTATACGCGACATTCGGAATAATTGCGTTATTATTTTTTTTGTTCAGAATAAATTTTTGTTTTTGTACTATGAAATGTTGTAACTTACGGCTGGTGATTCAGGTGGATAAACAATGAAATGACGTAATGTAAATCCAAAACCATGTTTACTGGTTCGATACAACACAACCGTCTTTGGACCAATGACCTACACAAAACAAGCGAAAAATATGAAATGACACGCATTAAAAATGTTAATTGAATTCATGCTCTTTTTACGTCATTCACGAAAAATAAAAAAAAAATCAATATTTTTTGTTTTGTTCAACATACTGGTTGTGGATGATGATACATCGGCTGGATCATTAGTGACACATAGACTGATTGCTGTTCATTCAGATAATTCGGTTTGGTGTTTCCAATTTAATAACTGTTGCGGATTTCATATGGATTTTGTTTGCATTCGATTCAATACATTTAATCTAGGGTCACACACGAAAAAAAAATCTCAAATTATTATTTATGAACATGAACCAATTTTTTTTCTTCGATGAATTGATAAACATACAACGAAATTTAAACAAAACAAAATATAAAACATTCACTTCAAGGCAGTCGTGCAACGGCTGTTCATTTCATTCAATCAGCAAATTACCACAGACCAATTTATTTACACAACATTTGTCTAAACAAATCAAATATGTCTGATTTGAGGTAATCCAAATAATATTGTTTATATTTTCGGCGGATATTAAATAATATTGCAAAAAAAAAAGTTCAAGGTTTTATTTTGGGTATAAAGAGTTTGCACTGATAGAATGGTTACCGAACGGCAAAGGTAAAATTGTTTATGCGAAAAGAGAAGGAAAAAAAACGCGTACACAACTCTGAATGTAACACCACTGAAAACAAGTTAGTCTTTCCTGTACCTAGAGAGATACATACACTGGTTTATTTCGTTTTGCTTTTATTTTCTCATCTTCTATCTCTTGCCGTAAGACAGCATGACAATTTAGGAAATCGCATGTATTTAAAAACATCAGTCTCTTTCAATGCTCTCTTTGTACAAACACACAAACGAGCGCGCGCATTTGAGCATTGCCTGTTCCGTGTGTTACATTCGAACATAAGATAAATGCAAATCTATATAAATATTTATGCGCCCAAATGGATTTCCTTTGTATATGTTTCGCATGCGATTCGATCACGGATGGCGAAATATACACATGAAAAGTTTGTATTTTAAACGAAATACCATCACACGGGCAATGTGGTAAGCGGTCGTCGAGTGCTTATGTCTGTTTTTCTTATTCGGTCTTGTGATTGTTTCAAGCAGACGAAGCAAAGTCAAAACAAAAATAGATCCCAACGACTAACAGAAAACATGGTCGAAAACTGAGTGCGTTCACATTGCATGCACCAACACATTCGCGCCGACACAAATACATGCATACACATACAAACACACGCGCGCCTCAAGTGAAATAGGCCTACATTTTATTACACAAATACTAACGTTTTTTTTTTGGGCTTTTCTCTGTCGTTGTCGTAAGGCTTTAAGTGAAGGAAAAAAAACAAACACACTTTCTTAGGAATAAAAAAAAATCATGAACATTTTATCATTTTGCGACGATAATCCCATTTATTATTCTCATCACTTGATTTAATCTGATGCTTGCTTCTGGAACAATTTCATTTACATCATTTTTCAATCATTCAACTCGATAATTTTCCACTTTTTCCGACTTTCACAAAAAAAAAACTTCGATAGATCTAAGCCAATCGGTTTATACAAAAAAATAAAACACTTTTTTTCAGGCACAATTAAATTAACGAATAATCAAAACGTGAAAATGATTTTTTGTCGATTTTTTTTTACATAAGAAACAAACTACAAACTATTATAGACGCAAATTCGGAATGCATAGTTTTAATATTGTTCGCACGGTTTGTTGTTTGCTCGATATATTGCGAGCTCGCACTCGGTCATTTAAAATACTACTGACGAGAACTGTCTAACAGAAAGTGCGTTAAATCGTACATACACACACATGCGCGCGTACGCATACACATTGAAGCAATAACTCTTGTAATATGACTATTTGCAATGTGATAAGTGGTTTCCGTTCTTCGTACATTCGAATAGAGATGGCGTTTTTTAAACAAACTAAAAGAACTCAATGGACTATTTTCATTGTTAATATGTGCAAACATTCGTTTGTTGATGTTATTGATGAGATATAGTCGATTTTGGAAAGAAAAATCTCGTTCTTTAAGCAAAAAATTGAAGCATCCTCTTTCGAATGGAATTAAAGCCGGTGTATGTATAGCCAGTTTGAGTCAAAACTCGTTTTTTCGGTTGACATTTTAAAATATTATCATATTTTTATTGCTTCTCTCATGCACGTGTCATTTGGAAAGAACAAAGTCGAAAAATAACAAATTCAAACATTCGGCGACTTTGTTATTATCAATTTAGTAGATGTAAATTTAAACGAGTTCAAGTAAATTTTATTTGTTGAAAATAACTTTTATTATTGGTGTATTCACTTTGTCGATCATATTGAAACAATTTTAATCTTGATTTTAATAGTATTTACAATAGCACTCATTTGAGAATTTCATAAAACATTATCTAAATTAAATATTTGCTTTTGGGCTTCATTTTGTTTGAAGAAATCCAATTACATTTTATTTGTTAATTAATCACTCATTGATATCGTTCGCTGATGTTTGTGTTTCCACGCTCATTCTAGTTGGTGGAAAGGCTTGATGAACAACGGCCTTGTGTGCCGCGTCCGATGATACCAGAGTCTGATTTGATGCCTGAATAGCATCAATTGCCAACTTTTCGGATTCGGTTGTCGTATCCAAATGTGTCAAATCCAAACTTTCCGGCATGCCAATGCCAGAATGCAAAACAAGTTGCTCAGAAATGTTAAGACATTCCAATGTAAGGTCGGTTACATTCGATGACGGAAGATTCATTGACTTTAATTGGGCCAAGAATTTCAAATTTCGTAAAATGCTCGCTTGCATGCCTCGAAGTTGAGAAGTTGTTTCTAGCATTTGCTTATTCGAATCGAGCAGCAATTTATTCTTTTGCATTAAACTCGCTTTCCATCGTGCCAGTTCTTCCACCATTAAACTACGAATAAATAAAGAGAATTTAAAAAAAGTGAACATTTAACGTGAATAATAAAAAAAACCATGAAATTTTACCTGCTTGCTAAAAATTTGCTACGCCATACTTCGCTCTGATTGGCCAAATACTCGATTTGCTCGGTATGTGTTGTAATGTTGTGTGCTGAATTCAACAGTGCTCTGGCCAATTGCAATTTATCTTCTGTTAAAACATTGACACGGGTTTGCAAATCTTCAGAAATAAAATCATATTAACTGTTAACATTATTTACACACGCCGTAGGTTTATATGTATTACCTTCGCCAACTGCAGCGACCAATAAATTTTTCAATTCAGAATTCACCTGAACCTGAAACTTTAGCTGACTTTCAAATGAATCACGCTCCTTTTTCATCTCGCCAATTTGTTTTTCATACATTTTTTGCTTTGTGGCTGCCGCTTCTTTTGCTTCATCACTTTCAAAATTCATATTATTAAATTCGCTGGTTTTTATATTCGCCACATGACACACCAAAGTGTTTAAATCCAAATTATTTTTCTTATTTGATCGCTGTCGCTTTGACAACATTTCGGGTACCATTGGATTTACCTAATTGATAATGTTTTTTTTTTGAGGGAGGGGCAATGTTAGTAGAGATTTCAATTCGAAAATAAAATTGACAACTTACAGCTGCTTTGTACGGTTCAAATGGCACAAATCGTGGTGCTTTGTTTTTAAGTGAACATGTTTTTTTCGTACTAACTAAATGAGGCACTAAGTGAAATAATTTTCCTTGTGGAACTTTTGCAGGCAATTTAACTGAATTGCTTTGATTATCGTCAAACCGATAAATTGTCGTTGCACCCGGAATTCGGCTTGTCGATTCATCAGTTGTTTTCAGCGTATTCGTACGAGTATTTGGTGATGTCAATGGAACTTTCACAGTAGTTCGATCCGCTTGAACCGTATCCACAAATTCCATACCATCACCACTAGTACGACCACTCGCAAAATCACTTGCATCCATTATTTCAATTGATTTCTTAAAATGGTGAGAAATTTAAACAAAAGAAAACCTAGCCTTGATCTCATACACTTGCCAAAATACGATATATGTAAGAAAATAAACTAGATTAATTGAGAAAAAAGATGAAAACACTGCCTTTCGCTTTAAATGTCACGTAGCAAGTGACGTTAGTCGTACGTTGACGTCTGCACTTTATTTGACAGTTCTGCAATTTTACCAAGCGGGTGATTTAAATTAAATAACATGACGGTTTTTTTTGTGTTACACGAAGTATTGGTACATGTAACGTTTTTATTCATTTTTTAATTTTTTTTGCCTTTTTTTGTTTTGGTGGTTAATATGGTGTAAATCACACCGTGTGATTATTATCGCATGTGCATAAAACAAATTGATGTGTTAGTTATTTAAAGTATAATATGTGATTAAAATTTTCTGATAATATGGATAATATAAGTGTTTATGGGTATTGATATTTTTTTTCATTCAAAGATTGCAAATCTTTCATCCATTTTGTTCAGACAAAGAACATTGAATGACCATTTTTGATATTGGCTTTGACTTTGCGGATTGCATTTTCGTTCTGCAAATTGTCCAATTTCACATCTTGATGCTCAATGTGAACACGACCACGTTTGGCTGCGTGATGAGCATAGTACGTCGGGGTGGGACTGTTTTGTATGCAAAAAAAGGAAATAGAAATTATTATTAAAAGAAAGAGACGTTGGATGTATACTCAAGTACTTACTATGAAACAGCGCGATTGCATCGTGTATACAAATAACAAAGCTAAAAAAGGAGAAAAGAAATGGCATTATGGTTCGTAAGCAGTCATTGCAATGGTATTTAATATTTACGTGATTGGTGAGTTCTTGCAGCTCATTATTTGTATGATTTCCCTGGTCTAAGAGAATACAGTATTTTGTTGGCCTGGCAACACCTTGTATTGATTGATGCGAAACCAGAAAGAAATCATTTTGATTCGGGCGAGTGATAGTTGTATCGACGATAGTTCCAGGTGGCACATTATTATTTCTATCTTCATCCACCTTTAAAATTTTAGTCTCTTTGCATGGAAATAGGCGAGTATGGTGGCGCTTTTGCACAATGATTATAGTCATTTTCACTTGTTCCTCGTATCCGGGTTGAATTTCAGCACATGCCAAAGACATGTCATTTCTTTCAATAGCCATCACCTGAGCGAATTGACTCTCGGACACTCCATCCCGATAATAAAAAATTTTCTCCGGCAAATCGCCATTTTTTTCCATGTAGAACTTCAAATGACTTTTCATTATCTCCTTGAAATTTTCAATGATTTCCATTTTCGACGGCTGAAAATAATGTTCAGCTTTGTAATTGAATCCGTGTTTATCGAACGACGAGACAACTCCCACAACACTATGAAAGTAACATGAATTTTTTAAATCAAAAAAGAAAAAATACAATGAATAGATTTTACTATACCTTGGAATCATGCGTTGATCTGGACTGGGGTGGGTCACATCGGCACCAACAAACATGCATCGTTTTCCTTGAATTACTGGAGATACTTCTAGTTTGTGATTCGTTCCATTTAGCTTAGCATTCACTTTGAGAATAATGTTGCCAATCGTAGACGAATCGTTTGCTTTCTTTTCAAGTGTTTTAGCCTTAACGCATTGCGTTAAAACACCAATTTCGCCTCTTATCTTGTATTCTGCAATTTGCTTTATACAGGAATAAACTGCACCACTATCGGGCACGACACAAAAAAGAACACGAACTGTATTCTCTTTGGCGATTGCTTCGAATTCGGTTTGTAGTTTTTGTTCTTGCTGTTTTGAAACTGTTAGAAATAAAATCAAGTTAGTATTATGCACGCACACATTAGATTTATATGTTGTACCTTTACCAAATCTGTCGCCCATTTCAATCGTTTTATTGTAGATCGGTATTTGAATTAAATCTAAACCTTTCTTCTGGCTTTCTTTGTACAACTGAAATAGTATAATTTTATGTTGAAAATGCTAAAAAAGTTCGGATAAAATTATATTAAATTACCATTCTAGTGAAATCATTTAAATCAATTGATTTTGTTCGAACACTGGTGTTTAAAATTCCCCAATTTAATGCATCACCAGATTGCTCTGTATGCAAGAATATTTTATTATCGGCCTTCCATGCTCCTTTAATTGGTTTCTGCTTGCCGTTTTTATATTCAATCATTGGCGGATGTAATTGTCTTGCCGGTACTTTTTCGAATTGATCACCAATATTTAGTCCAAAACCTTGAATAGTTTCAGATCCATTATGATTAATGGCACTGTTTAAATCCATGATTCTCTTCTTTCTTGTGTTTGTATCGGTGGCAGCATGGCCGATCATATTTGATGTCTGTTTTTCCGTACATTTTTTGTTGGTCGCCTAAGAAACGAATTTAATTGGATATTTAGAGATCCAGAAATGCATGGCTTAAACACGAAAAAAATACCTGTTCGGGAATGGAACAAAATTCCATCGGTACGGTTATATTGCTATTTTGACTTCCAATACGAAGACATGGCAATTCAGTGTACTTGATCTGTATGCCTCTTTCGTTGAAATATTTTTGAACGGTTGTTCGGACGCCATTAGAATCGAAATATACGTCTTTAGGTTTATTTTCAATTTCAAGAAATTTTCGAACCGACTTGATATCCGTTCCAGGTTGATTATAACAAATATCCAATCCTGATAGATGCCTTTGTAATGCATCTCGAAAATATTTCAGCCATGGATTATTCAAATAGTCTTGCTTATATCGTAAATCAATTGCGAAGTCTTTCAACAAGTCAATCAAACTCGAATAACGTTTGGCTATGGCCTTGTGCGCCACATCGACGTTCAAAAATAGTTCGTCCCCAAGCACTAAACTCTGGAACAAACCAAATCGGAGCTCGCATCCTTCCCCCAAATATAGATCTTTGCGTATTGTTCCAGCGCATGTTTGTTGAAAAAAATCACGGGGTAAGATAAATCATACCAAACTTTAGATGTTCTTGACGGAATGCACTCTGCAAAATATTAATGATTTTTTTTATATATAATTTATGATTGCTGTATGTGATGAAACCATGTACATAAATTGATTCAAAGTAAAATCACCTTTAGAATGATATCCAAGCCTTGTACAGTTGATGTGTCGCTGATGCTTTTTTGTGTTGCGTATCTATATTATGCGAAAATGAGAAAATAATATACCGAATGATACAATAATACTGAAAGTCGTTGATACTTACTGCATCAATGGAAATTTAAATGGAATTTCAAAATTTGTAACAGCCTCTTGAATAGTTACATCGAAATGTAACTCTTTGCCGGTTTCAGGATGAATAATCTGTATACTTTGTTGTAATCCATCAATCTTGAGCTTCTGAGTAGCGTATGCATTTTTCTTTCTATCAAAGGCGACATAAACGTTTGCGTCTGAGTAATTCGTTTCAAAGAACTTTTCGAATACCGACCAAAGAAGTTTTTTCGGTCGATCTGGACTAAACTCGATATCATAGTGATAGATGTTTTCAACGACCTTGTCGATTGATACTCTCACATAATTGGTTTCTACCAATCCCAGCGGGTCTCCATCAGATCCCTTTTCATTCGAAAAAACTTTCAACAATTCAATACCACTCTTTTCAATCTCTTCAATTGACGGAAGTACATATTCAGATGGCTTTGGTGATTTTTTTACGCCACCGCTTGTTGACGCTTCCGGCTTCTTCGACCGAGCACCTTGTTGTTGAGGCTGCACATTTTGCCGTTCTGTTTGTGGTCGACGTTGATCGTGGTGCTGCTGCTGCAATCCACGATTTTGTCGTTGACCGCTTTGTTGTTGAGTTAGCGGATTTGCACGCCATGTATTATTTGAAGATTGCTTATGAGCATTCGTCTCCATTTTATAATCTAAAATAATGAACAACAAACGATACGTACGTTTTTTGAATTAAAAAAATGGTTTTATTGCTCAAATTCTAATGATTTGCCACATTTTTATTATGGAGGAAGAAAACTAACCATCATTTCTTGGGCGTGTCGACCAGGCACCTTGTTGTTGAGATTGTACCCGTTTCTGTTCTGGTTGTGGTCGACGTTGTTGATCTTGATGTGGTTGTTGCACACCGCGATCTTGTCGCTGGCCGCCTTGCTGTTGAGCTGACGGAGTTACAGAAGATTGTTGCACAACATTCTTCCTTTTTTTGCAATCTAAACCGATACGTACATTTTTGAAAATAAAAAAGTATTTTGCGTTTATTTTTCGGCTAGAAATTGCTATGGCTAAATATTTTTTCTTTATAAAAGAAAACCTACCATCATTTCTTGGATTGGAGGCACCTTGTTGTTGAGGTTGTTGCTGCTCTGGTTGTGGTCGACGTTGTTGATCTTGGTGTTGTTGTTGTTGCACACCGCGCTCTTGTCGCTGGCCACCTTGCTGTTGAGTTGGCGGAGTTACAGGAGGATTTGAAGACTGCTGCGAAGCACTCTTGCTCTTTTTTGGATCTTAGAAATTATAAGATAAAGACTTGTGAATTTACTTCTCACTTTAAGATTTACTTGTTGATTATTTAACACCGTTATTCAAAGAAAAAAGACCGCAGAGAATATAAAAATAAAATAACAAAGGCAAAAAGTGTCCCCAATTTCGAAAACCAAAAGTAAATTCAATTTTGCAAATCACTTGAAATATTTAGGAACAGTGGTGAAATTACACACTTGGTATGAGTCATAGAACTACAATGGCATCAGCATCAATATATAATTGAAAAGTTGATACATATGTATAGAGCACACACATATAGCAACGCATATACGTATTTATAGAATTGAATTTTTTTTGCGAAACTGTGATAACAAATTTCTGCATACTACGGCGAAGCATACTTTGAAACAAAAATAATAGGATTTGAAACGCAATAAAATATTTCATCATATACTAAGGGTATTGCAGTATAATTGAATTGCCCATTGCGATTGAATTTCATCATGTTGTGAAATAGGTGTATTTTTCATACAAAAAAAATTGATATCATCTAAAATATCCAATTTTAGAGAAAAAATTAAGTTTAAACAAATAAATTTCACTGAGGATGTTTCAGGATATATATTTCACAATAACATGAAAAATTACAATAGATCAATTTAATAGAATCAAGGGAAACGAATTTAAAAAAAAAATCATCTTTTCTTACAATTTTTGCCACCCATTATTATCGATCAGTGGATCACACTTTTTCACTTAATTTGTTTAAGTTTTTAAATGTTTTTTAAACACCTTCTTTTCAACTCGAAAAAAAGCTAAGCGCACTGTTTGTAACGATACTTGCATTCGTACTAACGATTTTGATTGATGTGCACGAAACAATATATGTGAATACAGATAAAGTCGACGTAATGCATACGCTTGCTATGTGCTGCTGTCAAGAATATACTACACACAAATCATAACTAACCTCAATATGAACAAAAATTGACATAAAACTGAATTTATCCGAAGTCTCAACCGTTTTTGGGATAAATTTTAGTTCAGATTTTTTCCGCTCAAATATTTAAGTGCTTAACATATGAATGGGGTAGAATAAAAACTACTTCTCGAAAAATGTTTAAACACGAAACCTAAAAAAAACTTTCAATGAAAAGTGAATCAATTTTTTTTTGTCCAATTGAAGTGAACCAAAAAAAAATTGTTCAATAAAAGTGAACCCAAAAAAAAAATTCATTTTAGTGTATTTTACACTGAAAAAACCGAGTGAAATTTTTTTTTTGGTTCACTTTTATTGAACAAAATTTTCTTGATTCACTTCAATTGGACAAAAAAAAATTGATTCACTTTTTATTGAAATTTTTTTTAGGTTTCGTTTTAAAATAGCAATTTTTCGAGAAGTAGTTTTTATTCTACCTCATTCATATATCCCTTTGGCATTTGAGCGGAAAAAATGCATACTAAAATTTATCCCAAAACGGTTGAGACTTCGGATAAATTGAGTTTTATGTCAATTTTTGTTCATATTGAGGTTAGTTATCATTTGTGTGTAGAAGCTCAAACAAACACCATATTCGATAAGTCATTGCGTATTGTTGCGGTGCCGTATTGCCTGCAGTATTCATATGAAACCATTTCAAATACGTTTTCATATTCTTGCGAGATGAAAGAAAAAACGCTCTCATTAGCGTTGTCTTTTGACATATTTTATTAGTTTTTATATTGTAATTTTTAATTGGTAACAATGGAAATGTTCAAATAAATAATTTACAGTGCTCAACTGTCTGTTCATCGTTTATTAAATGCAAAAGGATTATGTGTACTCAAAATATATGTCAATAGGAATAACCAACAGGTGGATTGCAAAACGCTGCTTAACAAAATGGTATATACCATAGTGACGGCCTTCTAGATTGGGATTTCGTATATATATAGCGAGTCGACTTTTCGCCACACTAACCTCCCATGTGATAGCGTAGCACGAACAACGTTATCAATAGTTCACAAGGAAATAGATTCACACAAAGAAAATTGGACTAGCCTGAGTCTTCAAACTACTCTTTCAAGTGGGAGTGCTGGACTCATCTTTTTTGCATTATATATATAAGCAAAACATAAATAAATAAGAGGAAGTATTTTTTTGATTGGGCTACGACTACTACGGCACTATTCGATCAACTGAGTTAAGCTGCACAAGCTTTGGTCAGGAGATAAATGGGTGACCGTTTAGAATATCGTATGTAGTCGTAAAATACTGTGTCAACCGTCTCTGTGTACAACAAAGGTATGGATTTCAGCACAGACGCGTAAAATAGAAATCCAATGCCATATAGAATATGGCAAAATCATAAAAAAATGTAGGATACAATCGGCTGATCACCGATTCATCTGAATTCACTGATCAACAGAAACCAGAAAGATAAGAATTCTTATCTGAAGGCCCTATGCTCCACTAGGAGTTATAGGAAATAAAAAAAGGAATGAACCTATACCAGAATCGAATGACTTGGTATATATTTAATTTCTCTTCTAAAAATGACATCAGGAATATATTGGTGATATTTCTTTTGAAATTTTTAGGGACAAATTGGCAAAAAAACAACAGAAGCAATGAAAAATCGATATGGCAGTGATTATACCTGTGAAAATTCTTACGACGATTGTGAGTCTTATTTTTTAATTTAAGATGATAACTTAATCTTTAGTTTAACCAGATTTTTCTATATAGATGTTTCGTCTGGCGAAAGTATAGACTGGGTCTATGGCGTTAAAAAGGTTCCACTTATACGATTGAACTACGCGATAAAGGTAAGTTATTAATTTTCCGAATGAAAAATAAATTGTTGCAAGAATTTATGTATTCAATGTTAAAATTTGGTTGGTTATAAATTCCTTAATTTGTAGGTGAACATGCTTTCATTTTACCTGCTGATCAAATCATTCCAAATGCCTTGGAAGTTCTAGACGGCCAAAAAGCAATGGTGAATGAAGCCAAATCATTGAACTACTTGTGAGCCTATTCGTCACATTTAACAAGAAGTCTTCTTCAAAACTTTTCAGTTCATTCAATTTTACCATTAAGAAAATATTGACTATTTTGTCAAAATTTATAATAAAAATAGAATTAAGTTATAGTAACACACTGTTTTGATTTTCTGAGAAAAAAAAATCTTTTTGAAAACGTCTTTTGCTGAGTTTTTTTTGTCCAAGTGGCGCACAACTAATCTATTAAAGGTCCCTATAAAACACCAATATTTTTTGAAGTCCCAAACACAGTTATTAATGAGTGCTATATTTGATCAATTCTACCTCGTAAACGATAAAAAATGTTCGTCTCAATAAGAGCTACAACTTTGCCAAAGGAAGTAATTGAATAATATAAAATAAAGCAGCGAAAATATATTATGTATCAAAACAAAACAAACGCCTACTATCCTAGGGGATATCCATGCGAATTAGAATTAGCACATTAGCAAAAAAATAGGGAAATTTACATGAAGAAAATAGCAAAATTAGCAATAAATAGCAGAATTAGCACTGTACACGTATATACTTTAGTAAGCATTTATTCTTGAATATATTGAAATAATTAATTAAAATAAAATTCACAAAACAAACGAATTGAATAGTGTTGAACTAAAATGTATCAAAATATGTAGTTAAATACGCTTTTTCTCATTTTTAAATAAAAATATATTCAATGGCACGTAACCAAGCACGTTTCATCTGTATTAACTACAATTTACGAATTGCAATCGGAAATGTAGATTTGATGACAGATTTCTTACTGAAAACGTATACGCTAGTGCCTGCTTCAAATATACACGTTGAAAGTGTCAACTTGAAACATTTACGTAAACACATTTCAGTTATTACGTTGACGTACTAGAGAAATTAGCAAAAAATAGCAGTATTAGAACAAACTAGTAGAAATACTAGCAGAATTAGTGAAAACTAGAGAGAAATAGCGTTTATTATTATAAATTATTCGATCTGCAATTCACGGTTATCCCCTAGCTACTATCTTATCAATACTACTTTGAAACCGAAAAGCACACTCAAAACTCCAATTTAAATAACGTTTATGAAGCTCGACTGTGAAAGCCAAATGCGTAACATTTGCCGATTTTCTGGGGGTTTTCAATTATTCTTTCGAATTTGTTTTATTTTAACGAGTTCTCTTTTTTAAGTACAATATAGTATAAAATTTCTATTATTTCCAGTACGCTTGACGTTCCATCTCAAACGTATAATATAAATTGGTGAGTGTTTTCACGTTTTTGTCGTGGACTTATTGTGTAATGCTACCGATACATTTCTCTTTAGTTTCTTACTATCACTATGGAAAATATAAAATATTAGAACAAACTTTACTCAATAGTAACTCTCTTAAACAAGAAGGTCATTAACTTACTAACGGTAAGAATTACAAATGAAAAAATGGCAATTCCACGCATGTTTTTGTATTTATTAAATACCACGTTCTTAAATAAAAATAAGAAACCCAAAAAAGAAGAGCTATGAACGAATGAATAATAATATTTATATGCATATGATGTCATTTGTTTTGTGTTTAACTGTTTAATTTTTCTCTATTGACTTTGGTGCGTCGTATGAATGTTACCATCATAAGTAAAACGAATAAATGAATTTTATTTTATAACTTTATAGCATTATTGTTGTCATTGTGTAGCTCGATTTCACTTTATTGCCCTGAACCTTAATTTTCATTGTTTTAACGGAAAAAAATCGCTTGTTCAAAAAAGCGGAAATTACAAGAAATAATATGGATCTTGGCAAAAATTAGAGACGCAATTCTTACCATTCAAACACATCCACATAATAGCTAGATGTCACTAATGAGTACTTTGCAGCAATCAAGTTCAATTAGGTGTATGTCATTTGGTATGTGCAATGACAATGAGTCAGTATAATCAGAAAGGACACTTTGCAATATCCCAATTACAAAAATATTTGTATATAAGGGCCTGCATTTGCATAGATTTCATCAGTCTAGTTTCAAAACTACTTTAGCACAGCCTAGTTGCAAACAGTCAATTCAAAAAAGTTTTCAAAGTAAAATTGCATTAAAACATTTTCGCCAACGAAAACCAATATTTCAATATTTTTTTTTTTGTGAATTGTAAATTTATCATTCAAATAAACTATTTTATTTCTCTTGTGCTTTGCAATGGAATGGAAAAGAATTCAAATGAAGAGAAAAACAACGAGATCTCAGTTACATCCACCTTCAAATGTGGCTAAAATCGATTCATCCGAAGAGTCAATCAGAAGAGGGATGAAATTCATACTTAATCCGCACTGTTGGCTCAAAGTGTTTGAACATTTGTCAATCGAAGAATTGCACTCATTCTGCAAAT